AGCCTGGATCCTGACAGGGAAACTCCTTCTCAATAAAAAGAAATGGGATCACGCACTGAGTGGCCTTGTGTGTCTGGCGTCTCTCACTGAGCGTGGCGTCCTCGAGGGGCATCTGCGCTGTGGCCTGGTCAGGGCCTCGCTCCTTTTCACAGATGAGTTGTGTTCTGTGGTGGATGGGTCATGCTACGTTGCTCCGTTCTCCCAGTGACGGGAATGTGGGCTGTTTCCACGTTTGGCTCCGTGAATAACACCACGATGAACACTCATGTTCGCGTTTCTGTGTGGACGCGTGTTTTCCCTTCTCCTGGGGCATGCCTGGGAGGGGAATTGCTGGGGGAATGGGGTGGGGGTGCCAGACTGGAGTGCAGTGGCGAGACCTCGGCTCACCGCAACCTCCGCCTCCCGGGTTCAGGCAATTCTCCTGTCTCAGCCTCCCGAGTAGCTGGGATTACAGGCATGCGCCACCACGCCCAGCTAATTTTTTTGTATTTTTAGCAGAGACAGGGTTTGACCATGTTGGCCAGGATGGTCTCGATCTCTTGACCTCGTGACCCGCCCGCCTCGGCCTCCCAGAGTGCTGGGATTACAGGCGTGAGCCACTGCGCCCGGCCGCTTTTTTTTTTTTTAAGACAGAGCCTCACTCTGTCACCCAGCCTAGAGTGCAGTGGTGTGTGTGATCACTGCTCACTGCACCTCCGCCTCCTGGGTTCAAGCGATTCTCCAGTCTCAGCCTCCCGAGTAGCTGGAATCACAGGCGCCTGCCACCACTCCCGGCTAATTTTTCTATTTTTAGTAGAGACGAGGTTTCACCATCTTGGCCCGTAGCCGGCCAACTAATGGGTTAAAATTCCTGGTCTGAAACTCCTGACCTCAGGTGATTCGCTGCCCACCTGGGCCTCCCAAAGTGCTGGGATTACAGGGGTGCCCCTCCACGCCCAGCTGAGCCCACGATCTTTGGAAGTTCCTTGCAGCTTCCCTGCCTGAGATCAGATATCTGGGGGCCTCTTACAGGCTTAGTGGCCTCAGGCCCCCCACTCCACCTCTCTAGGGCTGGGTTTCCCTGGAAAAACAAGAATAAAAGTATGTCCTAGGCCGGGCACTAATGGGTTAAAACAGGAAAACCTTTCTGGAGGGGTGCAGCTCTAGCCCAACTCCCCTGGGTGTGGGTCGGACTGGGGGAGGGGGGAACGGCTGGGTGTGAGGCCCGAGAGAGGCGGATGGAGCTGGAAGGGTGGGTCGGGGCAGATAATGGCCTTTTCCTGTTGGCCTGAGGGCCCAGGGTGGGGGTGGAGTGACGCTGGTCTCCCTGAGGTCTGGGTAGAGGGCGGTGTCCTGGGACGGGAAACCCTGCAGAGATGTGACCGTGACCTCTCAGGAGCGAGACCTTGGCTCCCCCAGCCCTTGCAGGGACAGGGGTCCTTCTTGGGGTGGGGAGAAAGGCGTCAGGGGGCTCATTTAAAGGACCCCTCGGGCTGGGTGTGGAGCCTCTCACCTGTAATCCCAGCACTTCGGGCGGCTGAGGCAGGAGGATCACGTGAGCCCAGGAGTTTGAGACCAGCCTGGGCAAAACAGAGAGATTCTGTGTCTACAAAAACTTCTCAAAAATCAGCCAGGTGTGGTGGAAATACTCGCCTACAGGCTGGGCACAGTCGCTCACACAGACAATCCCAGCAGTTTGGGAGGCCAAGGGCGGGGCGGAACACCTGAGCTCAGGAGTTCGAGACCAGCCTGGCCAACACCGTCAAACCTTGTCTTTACTAAAAATACAAAAATTAGCCAGGCGTCGTGGCGTGCCTGTAATCTTAACTACTCAGGAGGCTGAGGCAAGAGAATCGCCTGACCCCGGGAGGTGGAGGTTGCGGTGAGCTGAGATCGAGCCATTGCACTCCAGCATGGGCAACAGAGCAAAACTCTGTCTAAAAAAAAAAGAAGAAAGGAAGAAAGAAATATATGGAACTGCCCATGGGGAGGGGGGACTGACCTGGCCCGGCTACTCATTTTGACAAAGGAGTAAACTGAGGCATGGCCCTTCCCTCCCCCATCAGAACTGAAAAGCAGGCTGGGCGCGGTGGCTCACGCCTGTAATCCTAGCACTTTGTGAGGCCAAGGCGGGTGGATCACGAGGTCAAGGGATCAAGACCATCCTGGTCAACATGGTGAAACCCCGTCTCTACTAAAAATACAAAAATTAGCTGGGCATGGTGGCGCGTGCCTGTAATCCCAGCTACTCGGGAGGCTGAGGCAGAAGAATTGCCTGAACCCAGGAGGCGGAGGTTGCGGTGAGCCGAGATCGCGCCATTGCACTCCAGCCTGGGTAACAAGAGCGAAACTCCGTCTCAAAAAAAAAAAAAAAAAAAAGAACTGAAAGGCATCTGAGGCCCCAAGCAGGCCCCTCTGCATGAGATTCAGTGGCTCTGAGGGTCTAGGACGTCCCCTCTGTGTCAGACTCGGTGGCTCTGAGGGCCTGGGACGTCCCCTCTCCACCCCCGCATTCTCCTGCCGGGCTCAGAGTATCATTTTCAAAATGGTAACCCAACGTGATTCTCACACAAAGGCAAGGTGAGCCTGCTCCCTGCTCACCCTGAATCATTCATGAAGGAGGCAGCTGGCCTGCGGGCTGGGACCGGAGACAGGGAGGAGAAGAGACGGAGGCTGGGCCCTGCTCACTAAGTCACCCAGGTGCCCACAGGAGCCCTTGGCGTCTCCCTGCACATGGCGGCTGACATGTACATCACTGGGCCCTCAGCCATGGTTACTGTCAGGGCGGCCCGGGGAGGACAGTGGTTTCAGGTGACCTGGGTGGGGGAGGTTCCTGGGACCAGGCCGCCATTGCAGTAACTGAGCTCCTGTTTGTACCTGCTGGCACCCTCTAAGCTTCAGGTGCCGGGTGGGGCTGAGGGGTGGCACCAAAGACAGACATCCACCTCTTAAACCCAGGCACCCGTGAGCAAGGCTTCATTTGGAAAAACAGTCTTTGAAGACTGGAAAACCACCATTCAGTGTACGGAGCTGGGATCATCCTGGAGCCCCAGGGGGACCTGAAATCCCGGGATAGACGTCGTTTTTTTTTGTCACCCAGGCTGCAGTGCAGTGGTGCCATCTCGGCTCACCGCAACCTCTGCCCCTTGGGTTCAGCGAATCTCCTGCCTCAACCTCCCGAGTAGCTGGGATTACAGACATCCACCACCATGCCCAGTTAAATTTTGTATTTTTTTTTTTTTTTGAGATGGAGTTTCGCTCTTGTTCTCCAGTCTGGAGTGCAATGGCGCGATCTCGGCTCACCGCAACCTCCGCCTCCTGGGTTCAGGCAATTCTCCTGCCTCAGCCTCCTGAGTAGCTGGGACTACAGGCACGTGCCACCGTGCCCAGCTAATTTTTTGTATTTTTAGTAGAGACGGGGTTTCACCATGTTGACCAGGATGGTCTCGATCTCTTGACCTCGTGATCCACCCGCCTTGGCCTCCTAAAGTGCTGAGATGACAGGCGTGAGCCACCGTGCCAGGCCTAATTTTTGTATTTTTAGTAGACACGGGGTTTCGACATATTGACCAGGCTGGTTTCAAACCTTTGGCCTCAGGTGATCCGCCCACCTGGATCTGCCAAAGTACTGGGATTACAGGCGTGAGCCACTGTGCCCAGCCAATTATTTATTTTGAGATGGAGTCTCTCTCTGTCCCTCAGGCTGGAGTGTAGTGGCCTGATCTTGGCTCACCGCAACCTCCGCCTCCTCGGTTCAAGCAATTCTTCTGCCTCAGCCTGTGGAGTAGCTGGGATTACAGGCACGCGCCACCACACCCGGCTAATTTTTGTATTTTTAGTAGAGACAGGGTTTCAGCATATTGGTCAGGCTAGTCTTGAACTCCTGACCTAATGATCTGCTTGCCTTGGCCTCTCAAAGTGCTGGGATTATAGGCATGAGCCACCGCGCCTGGCCCAATTTTTCTATTTTTAATAGAGACTAGGTCACTCCTGGCCTCAAAAGATGCTCCCCCAAAAGTGCTGGAATTACAGGTGTTTTTTTGAGATGGAGTTTTGCTCTTGTTGCCCAGGCTGGAGTGCAATGGCGCCATCTCGGCTCACCGCAACCTCCGCCTCCTGGGTTCAGGCAATTCTCCTGCCTCAGCCTCCCGAGTAGCTGGGATTACAGGCACGCGCCACCATGCCCAGCTAATTTTTTGTATTTTTAGTAGAGACGGGGTTTCACCATGTTGACCAGGATGGTCTCGATCTCTTGACCTCGTGATCCACCTGCCTCGGCCTCCCAAAGTGCTGAGATGACAGGCGTGAGCCGCCGCGCCCGGCCCTAGACCCTGCCTTTTAAAAAAAAAAGGAAATGGAGCAGTGGGTGGTGACGTGGGCTTGCTGGGTAGCTGGGTGGCTTTCGGCTTTTACTATGGGCAAGGCAGGAGCCTTGGGCGGGGCACGATGGGAAGGGAGTTTTAACACGATTCCACTGGGTTAGACCAGGGCTTGGAACCTGGTGGTCTCTCCCGCTATCAGCTGCCACTCAGGCCCCAGGCCCCTGCCCGTCTGCTCTGAGGGTGGGGCCCACCCGGGCACCGCAAGAACAGACAGGGGCGGCTGGCCCTGCTGGTGTGACGATGGGAGTCCCCAGGGGAGCACAGGAACGCACTGGGCTTGCCCCAGGTCCGCCGGGACATTCCTGATGAGTGACCCTGGCTGCAGATGGTTCTTGGCCAGTCTCTGTTGACCGGCTGGCTCAGGCCAAAGGACCTCAACGTGCGGGGCCTCCGTGGAACTCAGCAGCCACCCCTAATCCCGGCTGGAATCCTCTGGCATTGGACGCCCGGCGGGACTCCAAGGCTGCTGGGCCCGCGCCAGGCCCGGGCCTGACTCCATGCGGCGCTGCCGGAGGAAAACACGCTGGAGAGGCCGGGAGCTGGGCTTGCCTGGGTTTGGGGAAACAGGAGGAATGTCCCATCTTCTCCCTCTGTAGGTGGCGCTAACGAAAAACCCCCTTTTCAGCATGGACTAAATCCCCATAGTTCTATTTAGGGACTGTCTACTCCGGGCTGGGAGCGGCTCCAGCTGGATGCCCACCACCCAGGGCTTCCAACTGCAGCTCGTGTGGGACCCAGGTGTGGAGGGCTGGGCGTCACCCATTGGCCCACGACGGCTCCCAACTGGCTGGCCTGACCTCCCCGACAAGCACCCCCATAGCTCTGTCCGACTCTTAATGCGATCAGCGCTCCTGGAAACATTAGTTCAGGGTATTTTCTGCTGCTGGGATCGTGGCCCATGCGGAGGGACTTGGCTGCTCCTGGTGACCCTGCAGGGCCCGGGCCTCAGTTTCCCCAGCCGTAGGCAGGCAGCCTCAGACTGAACAAGGTCCAGGCCTTAGTTTTCCTAGCTGTGGGTGGTCACCCACGGACTGTGCGAGGCCCAGGCCTCAGTCTCCCCAGCTGTAGGCGGGTGGCCGTGGACTGTGTCTGGCCCGAGCCTTGGTTTCCCCAGTTGTAATCAGGCGGTGGAGGACTGTACGAGGTTGAGGTTGAGTTTCCCCAGCTGTACGTCGGGCGGCGGTGGAATGTATGCGGTCTCAGTTTCCCCAGATGTAGGTGAGCGGCTGCAGACTGTGTGGCCTGGGCCTCAGTTTCCCTAGCTGCAGGCCCTTGGCCGCAGACTGTACAAGGTCCAGGCCTCAGTTTCCCCAGCTGTAGGTCGGGAGGCCACCCACTATGCAAGGTCCAGGCCTCAGTTTCCCTAGCTGTCAGAGGGCAGCAGCCACTATGTGGGGCCCGGGCCTCAGTTTCCCCAGCCGTAGGCAGGCAGCCTCAGACTGAACAAGGTCCAGGCCTTAGTTTTCCCAGCTGTGGGTGGTCACCCACGGACTGTGCGAGGCCCAGGCCTCAGTCTCCCCAGCTGTAGGCGGGTGGCCGTGGACTGTGTCTGGCCCGAGCCTTGGTTTCCCCAGTTGTAATCAGGCGGTGGAGGACTGTACGAGGTTGAGGGTCAGTTTCCCCAGCTGTAGGTCGGGCGGCGGTGGAATGTATGCGGTCTCAGTTTCCCCAGATGTAGGTGAGCGGCTGCAGACTGTGTGGCCTGGGCCTCAGTTTCCCTAGCTGTAGGTCGGGAGGCCACCCACTATGCAAGGTCCAGGCCTCAGTTTCCCTAGCTGTCAGAGGGCAGCAGCCACTATGTGGGGCCCGGGCCTCAGTTTCCCCAGCTGTAGGTCGGGCTGCCGCTCACTGTGGAAGGTCCAGGCCTCAGTTTCCCCAGCTGTAGGCGAGCGGCCGCCCACTGTGCAAGGTCCAGGCCTCAGTTTCCCCAGCTGTAGGCGAGCGGCCGCCCACTGTGGAAGGTCCAGGCCTCAGTTTCCCCAGCTGTAGGCGGGCTGCCGCCCACTGCCTCCCAGTCTCCCGAGGCCCGCTTCGCTGTTCCAGGACGAACAATGGACGATCTGGGATGACCCCGGATCATGTCGTGCCCACAGTCTCCGTGGCCACTGTGGAAACAGCCCTTGCGTGTCAGGAACGCGACACGGTTTTCCCCTACGCAAGCGATCACCTGGATGCGGGCGCTTAGTTTGAATCGGACTTTTTGGCCACGTGCCCACAAGCAATATGGAGCCCTGCGGGTTTCCTGCCCGACTCCAAGATGGCGACGCAACTCCCTTTGCCCTCAAGGCCCCGGCGGGCGGTTCCTGCCCACTTGCAATATGGCGGCAGCCTGGGCCAAGCACGCTTCCCGCCGCCTGACTCGCCACGTACCCACTCTCAAGATGGCGTCTCCCGCAAAGCCGCGCGCCAGACGACGGCTCGCTGACTGGCTCAGACACCATCACGTGCTCCGACATCCTCCGCGTTCCCTCGATTCCACAGGCCGTTTCCGCCTTCGGCCTTGACGAATGATTGTCTCCCCCAATAGGGGCCTGCGATTTCCCTGAGTCCCGCCCCCGAGCGGGCTTCTGGCCATTGGGAGACGCTGGCGGGGGCTCGCGGGGCTCTCCCCGCCCCTGGGCAGCGGCGGGAGCCAATGGGCAGCGCGCGCGGGGGACGTGTGCGGGCGTCTCCGCCATTTTGTGAGTCTATAACTCGGAGCCGTTGGGTCGGTTCCTGCTATTCCGGCGCCTCCACTCCGTCCCCCGCGGGTCTGCTCTGTGTGCCATGGACGGGTGAGTCGCACCTCGCCCCGCGCCCCGCCGCCCTCCCCGCGCCGCAGCCCTGCCCCGGTCCCCGCGCCGGCCTCCCCGGAGCCGATCCCGCCGCCGCCCGGGCAGGAGGGGGCTGCGGGCGTTCCCCTCCCCCTCCGCGTGGCGGGCGCGGGCGCGGGCCGGGCTGGGGGCTTCCCGGGGTCTGGCCGCGTCCCCTCTCACTCCCGGCCCGCTTCCGCCCCCCGCACGCCCGGTCCCGAGCGCACGCGGCAGCCCGCGCCCCTCCCCCTCCGCGCGCGCCCCTGGCGCTTCGCGTTTGCCCCGCCTCGGCGGCGCGCGCCCCTTCCCGCTTCCCGTCCGGCCGTCGCGCGCCTGGATGGCCCTTCCCGCCTCCCGTCCGCGCCCCTCGTGCGCCTGCGTAGCCCGACGCGCGTCCTCGCTGGCCTCAGCGCGCGTGCGCGGCTGCCGTCGGGGGCGCGCGCCTTTCCCGCCGCCCGTACTCTGTCCTTGGCGCAGCCCCGGAAGCGCGGGCGGGGCTGGGGCGGCTGCCGGGAGGGGAAGCCGGCGGCGGGCCGGGGCCTGTGCGTTCCCCACCCTGCCCCCCCATGCGACCCTGGCCGCGGCCGCGGGGCTTCGGTGATGTCACGAGAGAGGCGGCCGCCCGGAGGGTCTGTTCTCCGCCTCGGGGTCGGAGGGGCCTCTCCGGGGACTCCGGGCGGAGGGGGCAGCGGGAGCCGTCCTGGGGAGGGGTCTTCCCGCTCACGGGCCGGGTTCCCCCGGGGCAGCCCCTCCGGGCGGCGGTGCGAGCGGGCCTTGCCCCGGGAGTGGCGGGAACCCCCCTCCTAAGCCCGTATCCCGCCGAGCGCGTCCTGCGCGGGGTCCTCCCTGGGATTGGGGGGCCGGAGAGGCTGGCGATGGATGCTTCGGCCCCTTCCCGCTCTTCCGGGAAGCGCTCGGCTCAGGAGCTGTTTAAAGCGCGCTGGGAAGGGGTCCGTGTGGCCCTTTGTGTCCCTGGGGCGGGTCTGGCCTCCTCAGGACGCGGCGCAGCAGGTGGGTCCTGCCCACGGCGAGACGAGGGTGCCCCGCGTTGGGTCGCGGCCCCGCGGGCTTGGGGGTTGCACGCTCCTGGAGGGAGGTGGGAGGCCCGGGGCTGCGCCCCCGGATTGACGATCCGAGTCACTGAGGTCCCCCCGGGAGGTGCAGGGGCCTCGCGGAAGCCGCTGGCAGCTCTCGGTTGGATCAGGAGCTGAAGGGGGCTGAAGGGAGGGCCCCGGGCTGCCCGGCTTCCTTCCACCTTCCCCCTTCCCCGCGGGGTGTCCCGAGGAGGGAGAGTCGGGTCGGGTGGGGCCCGGGTTGATCAGTAACCGAGGTCGTGTCCTGGTCTGTCTGTTAATTTTTACTGACGGTTTCCACGGCCGCCACCCGCCCTCTTCGGTGGATCTGGCTCCGCTCTGCTGAGAGGCTCTCTCGGGGGGGCCCCTCCGCCCGGGCGGAAACTGCGGCCCAGGCCTCAGTTTGCCGGCTTCAGCCTCTCCGCGGGCTCGCACGGTGCCATCCAGCACCCCTTGGGGCTTCCAAGAGGGGTGGCTTTGTGTTTTTTGGAGACGGAGTTTCCCTCTTGGTGCCCAGGCTGCAGTGTGCAATGGCGAGATTACTGGCATGTGCCACCACACCTGGATAATTTTGCATTTTTGGTAGAGACTGGGTTTCTCCGTGTTCAGGCTGGTCTCGAACTCCCAACCTCAGGTGATCGCCCGCCGTGGCCTCCAAAAGTGCTGGGGTTACTGGCGTTAGCCCCCTCGCCTGGCCCCAAGAAAGTTTTTGTCTCGGGACCTGGGGCCTGGGGTCCTGCTGGGAGGGAGGGGTGCCAAAGGTCAATGGTGGCCCTTTTTCAAGTTGCAGGCAAGTGGACAGTTCACTTCCCTGCCCTTCTGAGCTTTCTGTAGTGGGGCTTCATGCAGCCAGAGGGAGCTGTGGGGACAGCTGGCCCCTGGCGGCCCTCCTGCCTGCTGAGTGGCACTCCTGGCTAATACATTGTCTTCTTTTCTCTCAACAGCATTGTCCCAGATATAGCAGTTGGTACAAAGGTAGGCACTTCTCAACTTTGCTTCTTGCTCGTGCTCCTCTAACCTTGCGCTGACCCTGGGTGCCACCCCGCCAGCTCTGCTGCGCTGCCTGGAGAGCACCTTTCTGTTCCTAGAGCACACTGCCCTGGCCTGCAATCTGGAGCTGGGCGGTAGGGTTTGAGCCCTGGGTTCTGGGTGGCTTGGATGTGGTGGCCACTCCTTAAGAGTCTGAGCAGCTCCTAAGCTACTGCCCTCGTCGGCAGGGGCTCTGCCTGCCCCAGGCCTGCCTTTGGAACCTGTCCTGCCCCTGAAAGCCTGAGGTTGTGCCAGTGAGTGGGATCTCACATGTCGTGGTTGCCAGGGAGAGGCTTGGTTTTGATAGGAAACAAGCTATCTGGCTGTGGAGGGGACTGGGCAGACCCCAGTGTGTTCCAGTGCCTAGGAAGGGCGTTTAGTGGTTGCTTTTGACATTAAGTGTTTTGTTTTTTTGGATGGATTCCGTTTCTCTTAAGCAGGCTGGAGTGCAGTGGTGTGGTCTCTGCTCACTGCAACCTCCACCTCCTGGGTTCAAGTGATTGCCCTGCCTCAACCTCCAGAGTAGGGGGGACTACAGGCGCCCCGCCCTCTTGCCCGGCTCATTTTTGTATGTATTTTTTTTTTTTTTTTTTTTTTTTAGTAAGATGAGGTTTCACCACGTTGGCTGGGCTGGTCTAGTATCTTTTGATGTGTGTGGGTAGCACAGCAGCAGACTTATCAGATGTTCCGGGTGAGAGAAATGGAGGTGCTGCAGCCCTGGTATCTGAGTCTTGCCTCCAGGGCCAGAAGGAAGGGACGCTGCTTCCCCGTGGAGGTGAGGCCGAGGCAAGGGCTAAGCATGTGAGGAAAGGGGGTCAGACCCAGAGAGTGAGGTCCTGGGGAGGCCTGGGGTAGGTGGTTAACCATTCTGCTGGTTGTTGTGGGTTGAGGGGGCTCCCGACTTTGGAGCTTGTCCCCAGAGCGTGTCCTGCAGGGCAAGCCCACGGTGGCCGCCGGCTGGTTTCTGGTCAGTCAGCGGTCGTGCCTGGGCCAGGTTTCGGTTTTCCAAGTGGACTGCTGTCTTTACACGCTGCCTGTCCCGATCTCCCTGCAGATAAAACCTGTTTGTTCGGTGTGGGAGGAGGGAGAGGACTTTCATCTAAAGTACTTGCAACAATCCCTGGATGTGTCTGGCTTGCAGGCAGTCCTCTTCCCTGCTTCTGTGGGGCTGCTTTCCAGCCAGAGCTTCCCTCCAGCGGTCCTGGAGCCCTCCCCTTGTGTTCCTAGGGGGCTTGTTGACTGGGCTGGGACGCTGAAGCCCAGCCTGGACAGGATGGAGGCCTTTGGGCTCTGGTGCAGGGAGGACTGTCTGCCACAAGGCAAGGTGAGGGCCCCTGCTGGGTGCAGGCCCTGGTAGGTGGGCGGGGCTGAGCCAGACCCAGGTGATCACCCCCACTTCTGCCAGGGAGGCCATGCCGTCCAGGACGGAACAAGCTCCTGTAAAGTGTGCAAAGACCCTGAGGGCCCAGGTCCCAGGCTGCGGGGCCCCAGCTGCAGACTGGGAAGTCCTGTCATTCCCTGTGCTTCAGGACAGGTGCCCTGAAGGGACCCTCCTGGGGTGCTGGTGACCTGGCTGTGAAGGCAGTGGGGGCCTCACCAGTGCTGGCCCAGCTCCTGTCTCCTGGTTGCAGCCCAGTGGAGCCTCCAGGTATCTCCTGTTCTGCCAGGGCGCCCAGGCGGGTGTGGAGTTTGCCTCAGGCCAGGCCACTTGCCCATGGGAATGAGATTAGGGCTCAGGCAGGCAGCCAAGAACCCGCTCAGAAAACTCAGTCCCGCCCGCCACTCCAGGGAAAGACGGGGCCCAAGATGCCCTATTTAAGGTCTGTGCAGTCGGCACATGGGAACCGCATGGGTGCCTGGCCACCGTCCAGCTCGAGAAGGACCAGCCCTGGTGTCCTAGACAGTCGGTCTCTGAGCTGGGGGAGGGGAGGCAGAAGCGACTTCCGGTGGGGGGGGCGCTCTGTCTGCATCTCAGGTGCACCCTGCCTCCCCGTCCTGGCACACCTGTGTTTTCCGACGGCATGGTTTCCACCTGAGGCCGCTGGCTCTGACCCCTTTCTCCTGTGACTGCACAGCCCTACCTCATGCTCACAGACCGCAAGGAGAGGACTCCGGGGTCTGTTTTCAGCATTTGGTTTGTGTCGGGCAGGACGCTGGCACTGGACTCGGTTCATTCTTTGACCCTGAAGCCTGGGGGACTGACGGTGTCATTTGGGTGGGTGCAGGGCGTGGGGCCTGAGTGATTCTGGTTCCAGCTCTGTGGCTTCTCATTGCTTGTTTGGTGATGCCCTGGGTGCTTGTGGGACTGACCTGGGGGCTCAGGGCAGCAGTTACAGGTCTCGTCATCAGGGCCTTTCCGTCCTCTTTGGGCAGGTACTGGGGGCTCTGCAGGCTCTCGTGGAGCCTGCCTTCCAAGACGTCATGAGCCGGGGCCACAGAAGAGCCCCGATGGGGGCCAGGGCAGGACTGCAGCTTGAGCATGGGTGGAGGGGAGGTGGCCTTAAGAGAAGACCATCCAGAGGCACGTGTGGGGAGGGCAACTTGGGGTCAGTTCCTGAACCAGGGATGAGGGCGTGTGGAGCTGAGGCTGTCTGGGGACAGGGCAGGCCATCGGCTGGTTCCTCCTGATGCCATGGCCCTGGGCCCCTCCGCAGGTGGGGGGGGCTCTTGGCCTCACGCCTGATTCGGGGAGATGGAGGCAGCTTCTCTGTACACCAGGATGGCCCTCTCCTGGGGGGCCTGGGCGCTGCCCTCGCCGGCTTTGCAGGCCAAATGCCTGAGCTCCAAGGTCCTCAGACCCGAGCTTTGTTTTCTGTGTAACTAAGGGCGGTAACCAGCGTCTGCTCCGATTTCACTGTTTGAATAAACGTGTGTGTCTTCAGTCCTCGCAGCGGGCGGGGCTGTCCGTCCTCTTGAGTCTAGGATCAGTCTAGTGTAATTCTTCTTAGGAGCTGATTCAGTTAGATAGAAATGACAAGCGAACGGATGCTTTTTGGAGAGAATATGGTCAGGTCAGAAGTTACGGGGCCACTGTGGAGCTCCCCCGGCCCCAGTCATGGCCAAAATACCAGATGCAGGGAGGCGCGGTCTCTAGTCCTTGAGTGTGCTGAGGCGGGGTCGGGTTTCCTTAGGTGGCTCGACCAGGAGAGGCTCCTGCGTGAGCAGAGCAGGCGGCACTGTGGTTTCACTCTCCTGTGAGGCTGCCAGGAATGAGGACAGCTGCCCATCCTGCCATGTGGGGGCTGCCTTTTGCTGCTGGGGAGGTTGGCTCCATGGAGTGGGTCCTCTCCCTCCTGATGGGTGGCTGAGGCCCCAGGCCTTGAGCCTGGGGCGGCTAGCAGTTCGGTGAGGCCAGGTCCGCGGTGGAGTTGGCTGTTGGGGTGGTGTACTCCGGGCTTTCATTAGTGAGACCCTCCCCGCCCTGCGCTGAGTGCCCCAGGGCTTCCAGAATTTGGAGAAAGGAGTGATGTCTTGGGATTGTGGGACCGTGGGGTGCTGTGCATGTCTGTGGGCTGGGGGTGTTTCTGGACACAGCCCGGGTCTGCGCTGGGAGGCGCCCTGCCGTGGAAGCGTGGGTGGGAAATGTCTGGCCTGGTGGGAGGTGCAGCTCACCCTCGTCCCTCTCTTGCAGCGGGGATCTGACGAGCTTTTCTCTACTTGTGTCACCAACGGACCGTTTATCATGAGCAGCAACTCAGCGTCTGCAGGTAATAACGTGTCCCGACTTGTCACAGGGCAAGGCCCATTGGGTGTCTTCCCCCAACAAGGTTCTGTTCTTGTTCTGGGACCCTCCCTTCCATCTGTAGCTGCAGAGGCCCGTGGTCCCCACTGCAGGTCTGGTGTGAAGTTCTCTGCTGCAGAGAATTCTGGGGAGGCGCTGGGTGGTTCAGGCTGGCACTTGGGCCTCTGGGGTAGTGCCGGGAAGGCGCAGGAGCCCTGAGCATGCCGGCCTCGGCCTCGTGCTGCTGGTTCACACACAGCCTCCTGGGGCTCGGAGTTGGGCTGTGTAGCAGGCAGGGCTGGGGGGGGCAGTGGGGACCTGCGGGGGTCACTCCTGTGAGTTGGTGCCTGCGTCTCATGGCACCCCATTTTCAGCAAATGGAAATGACAGCAAGAAGTTCAAAGGCGACAGCAGAAGTGCCGGTGTCCCCTCCAGAGTGATCCACATTCGGAAGCTCCCCATCGACGTCACCGAAGGGGAGGTCATTTCCCTGGGGCTGCCCTTCGGGAAGGTCACCAATCTCCTGATGTTGAAGGGGAAAAACCAGGTACCTGAGCCCTGGGGCACCACTGGTGGGGCGCTGGCTGGGGACAAGGAGGGCCCGGTGCTCACTGTGTCCTCCCCAGGCCTTCATCGAGATGAACACGGAGGAGGCCGCCAACACCATGGTGAACTACTACACCTCCGTGACACCAGTGCTGCGCGGCCAGCCCATCTACATCCAGTTCTCCAACCACAAGGAGCTGAAGACCGACAGCTCTCCCAACCAGGCGGTGCGTGGCTGCGGCAGACCCTACCAGCCCGGGACCTCGGGGGTGGGCTGGGCCATGGGGGCCAGGGACTCACGGCAGCGCCTCCCACAGCGCGCCCAGGCTGCCCTGCAGGCCGTGAACTCGGTCCAGTCGGGGAACCTGGCCTTGGCTGCCTCGGCGGCGGCCGTGGATGCAGGGATGGTGATGGCCGGGCAGAGCCCCGTGCTGAGGATCATCGTGGAGAACCTCTTCTACCCGGTGACCCTGGACGTGCTGCACCAGGTGAGGTGGCCCCGTCACTGTCAGGGCAGCATGGGATGGGCCGGGCAGGGCTGGAGCTCACGGTGTGGCCGGGCCCCTGCAGATCTTCTCCAAGTTCGGCACAGTGTTGAAGATAATCACCTTCACCAAGAACAACCAGTTCCAGGCCCTGCTGCAGTACGCCGACCCTGTGAGCGCCCAGCACGCCAAGCTGGTGAGTGGGGCTCCCGGGACGGTGCCCGCCCCGGCCCTGGCCCTGGCCTGCTGTGGCTCACGCTGCCTCTCCCCTCAGTCTCTGGACGGGCAGAACATCTACAACGCCTGCTGCACGCTGCGCATCGACTTCTCCAAGCTCACCAGCCTCAACGTCAAGTACAACAACGACAAGAGCCGTGACTACACGCGCCCAGACCTGCCCTCCGGGGACAGCCAGCCCTCGCTGGACCAGACCATGGCCGCGGCCTTCGGTAAGGGGCTGCCCGATGTGGCGCCAGGTGTGCGGAGTGGTCTGTAAAGGTCGCTCAGTGTGGAGCCCCCGCGGCACGGGCCCGGCCCTGCACCAGGGAGATGCGCCTGCTGCTCTCTGCACGGCCAGCACAGCACGGTCCAGTGCCCCCACGTCGGGACCCTGGCCCCCCTAGAGCAGCGGATCTGCCCGCGAAGGCTCTGCTGGGGCCGCCCGCCAGCCGGGTTGGGGCCCGTCCCGCAGCACAGTGCCCGCTCGCGGTGGAGGTGGTGGGTGCGATGATTAGTGTCTTATTTATTTCTAGGTGCACCTGGTATAATCTCAGCCTCTCCGTATGCAGGAGCTGGTTTCCCTCCCACCTTTGCCATTCCTCAAGCTGCAGGTATTCAAACGCTTGGTCTTGGTTCCCCAGCGACTGCATGCCCACACACCTTCCCAGGCTGGGCACTCGAGCGCCCACACACCTTCCCGGCAGCTCCGCGCCCATGGCGGCAGCCTGGGCGGACTGGGCACTCGAGTGCCAGGTCAGGGGCCCTTCCCGGGAGAGAGGGGACGCCACGTCCACAGAGCAGGCTTGGACAGGGCAGTGGTAGGACAGGGCTGCGGAGGCCCGCGTGTGGACGGCGCCAGCCGGAATCCACTAACCGCACAGTCTTTGTGGTCTGGTTCCCTTCAAGCACCTCCGGGCGAGCACGAGGACGGCCAGTGGTTGGAGGGATGTGTCCCTAGTAGTTGAATTTGAGTGGCCTGGTAAGCGCGTGGCCCGAGGCTGAGGAGCATGACCGGCGGCGGGACGTGTGTGCTGGCCGCCCTCCTGCCTCCCTTCTGGGACTGGGCCGCCGAGTGCTGGCCGTGGACGGAGCAGCGCGCGCGCCCCGCAGCCCTGTCTGCATGGAGGCATGGGCATGGGCACGCATGTGCGGCGGCCCCGCCGTGTCTGTGCTGGCGGAGCCGGGGCTTTTCTGTGCTGTGGGCGCATGCGGAGCGGCCCGAGCCCTGCGCGGCCGGTGCTGCGAGGAGAGGCGGGCGCTGGTGCAGGAGCCAGCTGGTGGCTGTGCGGGGGTCGGGTGACCCCACAGGCACCCGGGGCAGGGCCAGAGCCCGGGCCGCTTCCCTCCCGCGCGGCTCCTTGGTGCATGAGGATGGGAGTGTCTGCCTCTCCCGCTCCGAGGCGGAGGGGCGCCGCTGCTCATCTCCCATCCCGTCTTTCCAGGCCTCTCGGTTCCCAACGTCCACGGAGCCCTGGCCCCCCTGGCCATCCCCTCGGCGGCGGCGGCAGCTGCGGCGGCAGGCCGGATCGCCATTCCGGGCCTGGCTGGGGCAGGAAATTCTGTGTTGCTGGTCAGCAACCTCAACCCAGAGGTACGTGGGCTTCCTCCACGCCGCTCCTCCCGGAAGAGCGAGCAGGGGGTGTTGTGCGCGGTCTTGGGTCCTGGGTCCTGGGTCCTGGGCGGCGCCGCCCCTCGCTGTTCCTGCACCTCCGCTCCCGCGGCCCCTCCGCTACAGCGCTGACGAGACCTCCTCTCCCAAGATGGCTTTGAGTTTTCCCGTTTTCCTTCGTTAACATCTTGGTTTGCGCTTTCAATTCCATGATACGCAGAAGGAAGTTGTTTCTCAAAGGCATTCTAAATTACTGGGCACTGAAGCAGGGTGCACATTCGAAAGCCCCAGCAGGCTGTCCTGGCCGGCAGGGCACACGGGGTTGGCGTGTGGGCTGTGCACCTGTCACTTAACTCCTGGATCTGTTACTTGTCCAAATGCTTAAATTCCCCTCCGGGAGAGCTTGGGTGAAACGAGGCTCAGAACAACCTAACTCCTGATGGATGGGATCCCCATTGGAGTCAGCAATTCGGGCTGTTCTGTTATTCTAGCACCTCCTGTGACTTCCTCAGGCTGTGCCCGCCCTGGCCCTCCCTCGTGGGGGCACAGGATGCACTCCCTGCCTCTGCCTGTCACCACGAGCCCGGCACTGTCCCTGTAGCTCCTCCTGAGCTAGAGGACCCGTAGCAAGGCCGTGCACTAACTCCATCTCCTTCACGCCTTTGTGATAGTCGTTAGAGACTCAGTGCCACGGCAGCGGGAGACAGTGCTGCTGTGGGGCCTGGCGAGGTGGCCGGGGTGGAGCCACGCCTACACTGGCGTGGCCTCCTGGGGGGCGTGGTTGGGGTCTGGCTTCTGGGAGCCCCTCAGCAGTGCTGTCTCTGCCGGCGTGGGAGTGAAGGTGCTTTCCTCACCGTGTGCCCCTTGCGGTAGACCTGTAGCTGGAATGTGTGTGGCGTGTGTGTGGCTGATGGAACACTACCTGATTTCTTACGTATTTACTGACCTGTGTTTTTTTGCTACTTTTTTTCTTTTCTCCCCTTCCCCTTTCCCAATTTTTTTTTCTTGCCCTGATCCGGAATTTCTTTGCCAACTGACCGCACGGTACTTCTGCTTCCTGTTGTTGCTTGAAACAAAACAAAACATAAACAAATAAAAACAAACTTCCCCCTCAAACCCTGCTCTCCGGAAACCAACCCGCCCTTGAATATTAACATCCTGACAACATCATCCATCAACCACTGCACGCCTGCGGGGACTGTCTTCCTCGTGGACGATGGGCAACTCGCCCCTGACCTCTCCCTCTCCCCTGTCCCTCCGCTGCCTTGCTCTGCTGTCCCTAAAGAGAGTCACACCCCAAAGCCTCTTTATTCTTTTCGGTATGTTACATTCTCACTTTTATTACCTCGTTTTCGTTTAATTGAGATGTTTATGCCCGAGACCCCTTACGGTTGCGGTCTGGCACTCTGACCTGTCACCGCGGCATCTGCCTGGTTTTACGGTTTGCTTTCGGTGTGCGTATTTTATTGGTCCCGTAGATACGTACGCATGGTTTATCGCCCCGCATGCTTTTCGGAGAGCTGGACCTGTCGGTGGCATGCTCCCGTGCCACCCGCTGGCAGCCTACCTGTCCTGGATGCTGCGACTTGGCTCAACGTTAGCGTAGCTGCTCCCGTTAGCGTCCCTGTGGCTGCGAGACACAGCTCCGCAGTGGCCGATAAAGCAAACCCGGCCGGGCTGAGCCGGGCCTTTGGGGGTGCGTGGGATCTCGGGGCTGACGGGGACATGGGAGGGGCAGGCAGCAGGCGACTCAGGCCCTGTCCCTGGGCTTTTGAAGGCGTCTACGGCGACGTGCAGCGCGTCAAGATCCTGTTCAATAAGAAGGAGAATGCCTTGGTGCAGATGGCGGATGGCAACCAGGCCCAGCTGGGTGAGGGGCAGGGCACCCTGTGTGTGTGTGGGGCGGCGAGGCGGGGGGCCCAGCTGGGAAAGGGGGTGGGGCCTTGGGCCACACTCCCTCTTGGGTGCTTGGTCACATGGGTGCTGCTGCCCCCAGCCATGAGCCACCTGAACGGGCACAAGCTGCACGGGAAGCCCATCCGCATCACGCTCTCGAAGCACCAGAACGTGCAGCTTCCCCGCGAGGGCCAGGAGGACCAGGGCCTGACCAAGGACTATGGCAACTCGCCCCTGCACCGCTTCAAGAAGCCAGGTTCCAAGAACTTCCAGAACATATTCCCGCCCTCGGCCACCCTGCACCTCTCCAACATCCCGTGAGTGCCGGGGGCGGGGCGCGTGCCGGGGGCTCTGCTTGGCTGTCTTGCTTGGTCAGGGGTTTCCGGAGGGCACGTTGGGTACCTCTCATCCAAAACTTGAAGTACTCCAAGGCCTGAAGCCTGAGTGGAGGGATGCTCAGAAGAGCGGATCATTGGTGCACTGGGGGTTTGGGGTTTTTGGCTTGGGGAGATGATGCTCTGCTGTGAGAGTATATAGTTCTACCTGTGCAGCTCCAGCCCTGTGCCAGCCGTGCAGGGGAGCGCTTGAACCCAAGAGTTCAAGACTGGCCTGAGCAGTGAAGTGAGACCTGTCTCTCAAGAAAAATTGGTTGAAATTAGCCAGAAGTGGTGGTGCAGGTCTCAGTCCCAGCTGTTTGGGAGGCTGAGGGGACAGGGTTCACTTTGAGCTCAGGGGGTTGAGGTTCCCGTGAGTCGTGATCATACCACTGCACTCCAGGCTGGGTGACGAGTAAGCCCAAGACCCTGTCTCTAAAAAATGTATAATGCAAATGTTAGGAGATTGACGTGCATCTGACCCCAAGCGTGTCAGGAGTGCCATTTAACCTGTATTAAGCCCTTTATATTTAACATGTTACCAGGGGCCTGGCAAAGTGGTTAGCACCTGTAACCACAGTATTTTGGGAGGCCAAGGTGGGATTTCTTCAGCCAGGGGTTTGAGACCAGCCTGGGCAACATAGTGAGACCCCCATCCCTACAAAAAAACTAGGCTGGGCGCTGTGGCTGATGTCTGGAATCCCAGCGCTTTGGGAGGCCGAGGTGGGAAGATCACTGGTGCTGATGAGGTCAAGGGTGCAGTGGCCCGTGACGGTGTCACAACTGCAGCCTGCATGAGTGAGATCCTGCCTCCTAAAAAATTAGGCCGGGCGCGGTGGCTCGCGTCTGTAATCCCAGCACTTTAGGAGGCCGAGGTGGGTGATCATGAGGACAAGAGATTGAGAACATCCTGGCCAACATGGTGGAAAAAAAAAAAAAACATACATAAGCTGGGCATGGTGGTGAATGCCTGTAGTCCCAGCTACTCGGGAGGCCGAGGCAGGAGAATCACCTGAACCAGGGAGCTGAGATTGCACCACTGCATTCCAGCCTGGTGACAGAATGAGACTCCGTCTCAAAAAAAAAATAGTAATAATGGAGGAACCTGCGTGTCTGCAGACCTGTATCTGGCTGGTTTCGTTAGAAGCTGCTGCAGACCAGTATGGACGTGGTTTGATGCCGGGTTTCTGGGCCCCTCCCCGAGCCGCTCTGGGATCTGTGGTCTGGAGAAAGCCTCGGGCTCACACCTCTGTCCTCCCACAGGCCCTCAGTGTCAGAGGAAGATCTCAAGGTCCTCTTCTCCAGCAACGGGGGCGTCGTCAAAGGGTTCAAATTCTTCCAGTGAGTATGAGGCCGGTGGTGCCCGGTTCTCCGGAGCTGCCCTGCGGCCGGCCTGACCCTGTGTCTTGCAGGAAGGACCGCAAGATGGCGCTGATCCAGATGGGCTCCGTGGAGGAGGCGGTCCAGGCCCTCATTGACCTGCACAACCACGACCTCGGGGAGAGCCACCACCTGCGGGTCTCCTTCTCCAAGTCCACCATCTAGGGGCACGAGTCCCCCACGGCCGGGCCCCCTGGCGACAACTTCCATCATTCCAGAGAAAAGCCACTTTAAAAAGCAGCTGAAGTGACCTTAACAGACCAGAGATTTTATTTTTTTAAAGAGAAATCAGTTTACCTGTTTTTAAAAAAATTAAATCTAGTTCACCTTGCTAACCTTGCGGTGACGGGTGACAGCTCAGGCTCTTGGTGACTGTGGCAGCGGGAGCTCCCGGCCCTCCACACCTGGGGCCAGACCCTCGGCCGTGCCTTGGTGGGGCCTGTTGGGCGAGGGGCCTACGGGTGGGCGCCCCGACCACGACTTGGCTTCCTTGTGCCTTAAAAAAAAAAAAAACCTGCCTTCCTGCGGCCATGTACCCACCCTGGGTGTCCTGGGGTCCCAAGGGGCAGGGGTCCAGCAGGCTCCTGCAGGGTCACGTGCCTGGGCTGTGGCAGGCTGTGGCTGCCACACCCCAACCCCCACCCTCTAATCAAGCGATGTGATTTTTGCCCGCCCGCCCCGCCCCCAGGACCCTGCCCTCTTCCCCAGGCGCTGGCCCAGGGTGCCCGCTGCTGCTTCCAGCTGCGGAGCTGTTGTCATAATCTCTGTATTATATACTTTGCAGTTGCAGACGTCTGTGCCTAGCAATATTTCCACTTGACCAAATATTCTAATCTTTTTCATTTATATGCAAAAGAAATAGTTTTAAGTAACTTTTTATAGCAAGATGATACCGTGGTATGAGTGTAATCTAAACTTTCTCGTGGTGTTACCTTGTATGCTGTTTTATTTTATTCCTTGTCATTAAGTCACAGTTTCCAGAGAGCAGGCGGGGCCGCCGCGGGTCAGGCATGGGGAGCCCCGGTCCCATCTGAGCCCCGAGCTTCAGGGAAGGGGCGGGCGCGCCGCCGCCTCTGGCATCGCCTCTGGTTGCCTTACACGCCTTCACCTGCAGTCGCCTAGAAAACTTGCTCTCAAACTTCTTCAGGGTTTTTTCCTTCAAATTTTGGACCAAAGTCTCATTTCTGTTTTTTCCTGTCTCTGATGCTGGGACCCGGAAGGCAGGCGCTGGCCTCACTTCGCTGTGCTCTTCCCCGGCCCTGTGCGGCCTGTCCCGGGGGCTCCCGGGATCCCCCTTTCCGTAGAGGAGAGTAACGAGGGTGTAAATATTTATAATTTTTTATACCTGTTGTGAGACGCGAGGGGCAGCGACGCGGTTTTTATGGAGACAGATGTATATTTGCTGGCGGCAGATCCAGGCTCAGTATTGGCCGCGGGGCCCCCACGCACATTCCATTGCCGCCCCGCGGCTCGCGCGGAGACCGATGGAGACCGTTTTCTCCCCACCTCCTCCCTCCTGTAGCCCGTGTTCGCTGTAGCGGCAGGTCCAGTCTGTGCCTGCACTTTGAATAAACGTCTTCTGTATCCTCCGTCCGCCTCGGCTGCTGGTTTCCTCTCTGGGCCTCGGCGGCCCCGGTTTCCGCGGAAGCTCCGGGTGGGCCCCGCGCGGGACCCCCGGGCCGGACCGAATGACCAGGAGCCCGAACTCGGTTTCTCTGCTTTATTGATCGTCGGTGCTGCCGCCCGCGCCCCCGGCCCCCTCCCCGTCCCCCGGCCCCGGCCCCGGCCGCGCTAGTCGGGGAAGCGGCGCGCCTGCATCTTGCGGAAGTAGCCCTCGGCCTCCGCCTCCGCCTCGCGCTCCGCCAGCCCCAGGCCGCCCGCGTGGCGCCGCAGCGTGGACTCCCGGCTGCCCGCGCCCAGCGCCCCATCGGCCGCGCCCAGCGGGGGCAGCCCCTCGCCCGTGGCCAGGTTGACGGTGGCCACGGCCCCGAACCGCGGCTCCTCCTGGTCCACGTCGCTGACCGACGAGCCGGGGGACACGCCCGGGGCCTTGGGCCCGCCGCGGAAGCCGCGCGCCAGGTCCCCCAGCTCGTAGCCGCCGTCGGCCTCCGCCTTGGCCGCCTTCCACTCCCAGGGCGCGCCGCCCGCCGACAGGTGCACCACGGGGTGGTGCGGCGCGTGCGCGTCGATGGTGACGATGCTGGCGGAGTCGCGGTCGGACGGGGACCGGTACTGCGAGGAGTCGGAGCTGGCGCTGGACGACGACGCCGTCTCGGGGGCCGCCTTGGGGCTCGGCGCGCCCGGGGCCTTGGACATGGCGATGACCTGCAGCAGCCGCGGGGGGTTGGCCACGCGGGGCTGCGTCGGGGCCGACGCCGCGGCCGCCCCGCCCTTCTCGGCCATCATGAGCCACTTGGCGCGCACCCCGGCGCCGCTCTTGGGGGACAGGCCGGGCCCCGCCTGCGCGCCCTCCTCGGGGATGTGCACCAGCGGCTGCGGCCCCGCGCGCGGCGGGAGGATGACCCGAGGCCCCAGCCCCGGCCGCGCCTGCACGGTGGGGTAGAGCGAGGGCGGGGCCGGGCCCTCCTCCTCCTCCTCCTCCTCCTCCTCTTCCTCCTCCTCCTCCTCCTCTTCCTCCTCCTCTGCCATGGGCTCGGCGGGCGCGCGCAGGTGCCCGGGGCTGGCGTCGTCGGGCAGCCCCAGGCCGCGGCCCTCCAGGGTCTTCTGCTTCCACTCGCTGATGAGCTGCTTGGAGCGCGAGGCATCCAGCGGGACGTGGATGGTCATGTGGCGGCGCGCGGGGTCGTCCAGCGAGGGCGCGCTGGCCCTGGGCAGCGTGTGGCTGAAGGTCACCATGTTCTCCTTGGCCATGGGGCTGCGCGGCGCCAGCAGGTCCACGTCCACGCTGGCGCGCTTCAGGCTGCCCAGCGAGGTCTTCTCGCGGACCACGGGCCGGGGCGGGCCGTCCAGCCGCCCCGGGGGCCCCAGCTCGTCGGTGCTCACGGACTTGTTCTGCTGGTAAACCGAGTCGTGGCCACGCTGCGTCAGGGCCCGCAGCGCGTCCTTGGCGGGGGCCGGGGCCGCCGGCTTCTCTGTGGGTGGGGCCTGGAAGTTGCCCACCGCATGGCAGGCCTGAAGTAGAGAGGGGTCTGGGGGTGAGGACTGGGGCTCACATGGCTCCTCCCCTCTGAGCGTGAGACCTGCCGTGGGGGGGCCTTGGGCTGAGGGTGGGGTGGTGGCAAGCTCTTCTCGGGTGGGACCAGTCCCGGCCTCAAGATTGCTGACCCAGCACATCTGGCAGGTCTGACCCCATGGGATTCTGACTCCACCGTTCCAAGGGTGAGACACATTATTAGCACCCATGCCTCCACCCTCAGACCCCCCGGCCTCCCCCCTCAGACCCCTGGTCACCCATACTTCCCCCCTCAGACTACCAGCCTCCCCCTCAGACCCTGTGAGCACCCATGCCTCCCCACTCAGACCCCATGGGCACCCATGCCTCCCCTGTCAGACCACCAGCCTCCCGCTTCAGACCCCCTGGGCACCCATGCCTTTCCCCTCAGACCACCAGCCTCCCCTCTCAGACCCTCTGGGCCAGCCTCTCCCCTCAAACCCCGTGGGCACCCATGCTTTTCCCCCTCGGACCCCTGTGCACCCATGCCAACCCCCGTCAGGCCCTGCCACTCACCAGGTAGGCAGCGATGCCCGCCCCGATGAGGAAGCCGGCGTACACGTCCACCGGGTGGCTGCGGTACTGCGTGATCTGCGTGAGGCCGCACACGCCTGCGGCAATGGCAAAGGCGAACACCAGGATGGGCTTCAGCAGCTTGGTGGTGTCGGAGATGACGGAGTTGAAGTACATCTGGAGCACGGGGGTTGGGGTCAGGGGGGCTCTCTGCAGGCCAGCAAGAGGCCCTGGAGGCACGGGGGTTGGGGTCAGGGGGGCTCTCTGCAGGCCAGCAAGAGGCCCTGGAGGCACGGGGGTTGGGGTCAGGGGGGCTCTCTGCAGGCCAGCAAGAGGCCCTGGAGGCACGGGGGTTGGGGTCCGGGGGGCTCACTGCAGGCCAGCAAGAGGCCCTGGAGGCACGGGGGTTGGGGTCGCAGGGGCTCGCAGTGGCCAGCAAGAGGCCCTGGAGGCACGGGGGTTGGGGTCAGGGGAGGCTCACTGCAGGCCAGCAAGAGGCCCTGGGCAGGGCGCTGCGGGCTGGACTCACCGACACGTAGACCGCGGCGAAGGCCGACAGCGTGGCGTGCTGGGACGGGAAGGTCTTCCTGTAAGAGGCGTCCAGCATGAGCCCCACCTGCCTGGGGCCCCCAGCTCCAGCGGGCTGTGCCTCTGTTTCCCCACGTGTTCACAGGGGAGGAAGGGACACAGGGGTGGAGGAAGGCTCCCGGCCGGGGAGTTGGGCTCACCGTGCAGACAGGATGGCGTGGGTGTCGTGGCCGGAGCAGATGTCCTGCGTGATGTAGGGGTTGACCTCGCAGGACGTCCCCAGGAGAGTGTAGTTGGGCTTGCAGACGGTCAGGAAGAAGGGAGTGTGGTAGCCCGTGGCCAGCTGGATCACGTCTGTCACCAAGGCTGTGGCACACAGGCCGAACACGTGGACCCCTGCGGGGTGGGAGGCTCAGGGCCCGGCGAGGGAGCTGGGGACCGGGGATGGCCTCACCCCCTGCACACGGACGTAGCTCAGGGTCGGGATGCCCTCCGGCAACTCACCCACAAAGCGCACAGTGCGGCGCAGGAAGGAGTTAAAGTTGCAGCCGCCGGCGTTGATGCTGCCCTCGGTCCCGGCCGGTCCCCCTGCGTGGCCCCACAGCCGGGACTGCAGACAGTACAGCATGCCCTCGGCCACCATGATCTGCCGACAGAGAGGGGGCGCTCAGGCGGGCTCCCAGCCGCGGTGCCCTCGGGCCGGCCCGGGCCGTGCGGGTGCTCACCGAGGCTGCGGGGGCCGCGAAGGCCAAACTGAGCAGCATCAGCAGCGGGATGAGCTCCTCGTTGGTCTCCACGTAGGGCATGGAGAGGGTGCGGTCGTAACACTGGAAGCCCACCTTGGCCGGCTTGAAGAGGTCGGTCAGCTCCAGGAAGTAGAGGGATACTATGGAGGACGCCACTATGGGCAGCTGTGGGGACAAGGCCAGCCAGGTTCAACCTGCTCTCCCTCACCGAGGCATCTGTCCATCCCTCCATGCATTCAGGGCCGTCCTGGGTCTCACTCACCCATCCCCAGATCCAACCCGCTGCCAGCCACTTTCAGCCATGAACTGATTCATCCATCCACAGATTCTCCAGTCTACACGCCACACACCCATCCACCCACTCACACACCCATCATCCACCTACTGGTAACCATCCTTTCATTACCATCCATCCATCCACCCACCCATCATCCACCTGTCCTCCGCCCATGCACCCAGCAGTACCCATCCATGTAACCCCTCACCCAACTCTCCATATATCCATCCACCATCCAGCCATTCTTCCATCCATCCACCCATCCACCCAGTGGTACCCACCCATCTATCCACCCACCCAACTGTCCATATATCCATCCATCATCCAGCCATTCTTCCATCCATCCACCCATCCACCCAGTGGTACCCGTACATCTATCCACCCACCCAACTGTCCATCCACCCACCCATGTATCCACCCACGCAACTGTCCATATATCCATCCATCCAGCCATTTTTCCATCCATCCACCCATCCACCCAGTGGTACCCATACATCTACGCACCCACTTATCTATCCATCTACCCAACTGTCCATCCACCCATCTATCCACCCACCCAGCTGTCCATATATCCATCCATCATCCAGCGATTCTTCCATCCATCCACCCATCCACCCAGTGGTACCCACCCATCTGTCCATCCACCCAACTGTCCACATATCCATCCATCATCCAGCCATTCTTCCATCCATCCACCCAGTGGTACCCATACATCTATCCACCCACCCAACTGTCCATCCACCCACCCATCTATCCACCCACCCAACTGTCCATCCACCCACCCATGTATCTACCCACCCACCCATCCATCCACCCACCCACCCGTCCATATATCCATCCACCTACCCATCCACCCACCCATCTTTTTTTTTTTGAGACTGAGTCTTGCTCTGCTGCCCAGGCTGGAGTGCAGTAGTGCCACCTCAGCTCCCTGCAGCCTCTGCCTCCCGGGTTTTTGTATTTTTAGTAGAGACCAGGTTTCCGTAATGTTGCCCAGGCCAGTTTCAAACTCCTGGGCTCAAGTGATACCCCTGCCTTGGCCTCCCGAAGTGCTGGGATTACGGGCGTCAACCACTGCGCCCAGCTGTGGCCTCAATCCTTTTTGTTTTCCACTCTGTCACCGCCTAGAGGGCAGTGGCACCACATCGGCTCACTGCACCTTCTGCCCCCGGGTTCAAGCCATCCTCCCACCTCAGCCTTCCAAGTAGCTGGGATTACAAGCGTGCACTACCACGCCCGGCTAATTTTTTGTATTTTTAGTAGAGACGAGGTTTCACCATGTTGCCTGGGCTGTTCTTGAACTTCTGAACTCAAGTAATCAGCCCGCCTCGGCCTCCCAAAGTGCTGGGATTACAGGTGTGTGCCACCTCACCCGGCCCATGGCCCCCTCCTGCCTTGTTATGGCACCTTAGCAGGGGCTCAGCCCTCAGCACAGGTCAGGGCTGGGGGCTCCAGGAGTGGAAAAGCCATCACTGAATCATGAAAGCTGCAGTGAGCCGAGATTGTGCCATTGTCCAGCCTGGACAACACGAGTAAAACTCTTGTCACACACAAAAAATCATTTTTAGTAGAGACAGGGTCTTACTATGTTGCCCAGACTAGTCTTGAACTCCTGGCCTCAAGTGATCTTCCTGCCTCGGCCTCCTAAAGCACTAGAATTACAGGTGTGAGCCACTGCGCTTCACCTTAATTATTTTATATATATTTTTTGAGACGGAGTGTCACTCTCGTTACCCAGGCTGGAGTGCAATGGCGCGATCTCGGCTCACCGCAACCTCCGCCTCCTGGGTTCAGGCAATTCTCCTGCCTCAGCCTCCTGAGTAGCTGGGATTACAGGCACGCGCCACCATGCCCAGCTAATTTTTTTTGTATTTTTAGTAGAGACGGGGTTTCACCATGTTGACCAGGATGGTCTCGATCTCTTGACCTCGTGATCCGCCCGCCTCGGCCTCCCAAAGTGCTGGGATTACAGGCTTGAGCCACCGCGCCCGGCCTCTTCAGCTTAATTATCAGTAGTAGTTTATTGATCGAATGAGATGGAGTCTTGCTTTCTTGCCCAGGCTGGAGCGCAGTGGCACCATCTCTGCTCACCACAACCTCTACCTCCCGGCCTCAAGCGATTCTCCTGCCTCAGCCTCCGGAGCAGCTGGGATTAGAGGTTCGCGCCACCACCCCAGGCCAACTTCAGAGTTGGGTTGAAGATCACTGAGGCCAGGAGTTCGTGTCCAGTGAGCATTCATTGAGCACCTGCTGCATGCAGATACAAGGCGGGGCAGACACAGAAAGTGGGTAGCAGCGTTTGCGTGGAATGGATACCTGGTTTGAAACCCGCCCACTTTAACCTGTGGGCAGCCAGCAGACCCCCGTGCCTCCGTCTCACCGGCGGTAAAATGGGAATGACACGGTAGCTGCCCCCAAGGACTCAGGTGGAGTAGATGAGTCTCATCGTGGGAAGAGCCCAGAACTCCTCCAGGCACAAAACAGCCCCTGCAAATACCCACTAGTGCTCTGTACTCTCAGTATCAGCATAATTTTGCTGGGTGGGCAGACAGCATCTCGCCTGGGAAGGGTTTGAGGTGGGGCCTGGGCGTGGCCTTAAAAATATCTAATCACGGGCCAGGTGCGGTGGCTCACGCCTGTAATATCAGCATTTTTCGAGGCCGAGGCGGGCAGATCACCTGAGGTCGGGAGTTCAAGACCAGCCTGGCCCACATGGTGAAACCCCATCTCTACTAAAAATACAAAAATTAGCCCGGCCTGGTGGCGCGTGCCTGTAATTCCACCTCCTTGAGAGGCTGAGGCAGGAGAATCGCTTGAGGCCGGGAGGTAGAGGTTGTGGTGAGCAGAGATGGTGCCACTGCGCTCCAGCCTGGGCAAGAAAGCAAGACTCCATCTCATTCAGTCAATAAACTACTAATAATTAAGCTGAAGCGGCCGGGCGCAGTGGCTCAAGCCTGTAATCCCAGCACTTTGGGAGGCCAAGGCGGGTGGATCACGAGGTCAAGAGATCAAGACCATGCTGGTCAACATGGTGAAACCCCGTCGCTACTAAAAATACAAAAATTAGCTGGGCACGGTGGTGCGTGCCTGTAATCCCAGCTACTCGGGAGGCTGAGGCAGGAGAATTGCCTGAACCCAGGAGGCGGAGGCTGCGGTGAGCCGAGATCGCGCCATTGCACTCCAGCCTGGGTAACAAGAGCGAGACTCCGTCTTGAAAAAATAAAAATAAAAATAATTAAGGTGAAGCGCAGTGGCTCACACCTGTAATTCTAGTGCTTTGGGAGGCCGAGGCAGGAAGATCACTTGAGGCCAGGAGTTCAAGACTAGTCTGGGCAACATAGTAAGACCCTGTGTCTACTAAAAATATTTTTTTCCTTTTTCTTTTTCTCTAGCCCCGCCCACTCCCTCAATTTTTTTTTTTTTGAGATAGAGCTTTACTCTGGTTGACCAGGCTGGAGTGCAGTGGCACAATCTCGGCTCACCACAACCTCCGCCTCCTGGGTTCAAGCAATTCTCCTGCCTCAGCCTCCCGAGTAGCTGGGATTACAGGCACGCGCCACCATGCCCAGCTAATTTTTGTATTTTTAGTAGAGATGGGGTTTCACCACGTTGACCAGGATGGTCTCGATCTCTTGACCTCGTGATCCACCCGCCTCGGCCTCCCAAAGTGCTGGGATTACAGGCTTGAGCCATCGTGCCCGGCAAGAAATAATTTTTAAAAATTAGCTGGGCATGGTGCTGCACGCCTGTGGTCCCAGCTAATGGGGAGGCTGAGGTGGGAGGATGGCTTGAGGCGGGGGTTGCTGTGGTGAGCTATGACTGCAGCCTGGGCAGGGGGACTGCTGGCGGTTGGCAGCTGCCTCTTTGTCGATGACGGAACATTGAGAATGTATCATCCATTGCAATAGGAATTTACTCATTATTTTTATTTTTCTTTCTTTTTTTTTTTTTTGAGACGGAATTTTGCTGTTGTTACCCAGACTGGAGTGCAATGGCGGGATCTCAGCTCTCTGCAATCTCTGCCTTCTGGGTATTTTTAGTAGAGACGGGGTTTCACCATGTTGACCAGGATGGTCTCGATCTCTTGACCTCGTGATCCACCCGCCTCGGCCTCCCAAGGTGCTGGGATGACAGGCGTGAGCCCCCGCGCCCGGCCTTAATTTTTGTATTTTTATTTAATACAGACTGGGTTTCACTGTGTTAGGCCAGGCTGGTCTCAAACTCCCGACCTCAGGAGATCCACCCGCCTGGGCCTCCCAAGGTGCTGGGATGACAGGCGTGAGCCACGGCGCCCGGCCAGAGGAGGGTTTTGAACTGAGACCCTGGGGCTCCCGCCCCCACCGCGCCTGCTGCCGACCCCGCCCCCTGTGGCCTCCCCACCCGCTCCAGGCCCCAGCGTCTCCGGCTGAGCCCCGACCCACACCCAGGTCGAAGGGCTCCCTGCGCGCATCTGCCCACAGTTCCCGTGGCCCGGACCACCCCGGGTGCCTCTCGAACTCTTACTCGACCTGCAGAGCCCAAGTCCTGTGCCCCGCCCCCCACCCGCCGGACACCCGGGTTCTGCGGCCCCCAGCGGAGGGGGTCTCTGCGGGCAGGCGGCGCCCAGGCCCCACCGCGCCCCCCCAGCGCGACCCCCACCCACCTCCACGAAGTAGAAACAGGGCAGGAGCGTCATGCTGTCCTTCGGGCTCTTATTCTTCTCCTTGGTCGGGATCATGGTGCCGCGGGCGCCACAGGCCGTGGCTGGAGGGGAGACAGCGGCGCTGGCGCGGGGGGCGCACGGCGGGGAACGCGGTGGCCGGCGCGGGCGGGGGAGGGGCGGCCCGGGAAGCGCCCGAGCGGCCGGGGAAACTGAGGCCGGGGGAGGGCGGCGTCCGCGCAGCCTCCCCGCGCCCCGGCCCGGGACCGACCCGGCTTCCAGGCGCCCCGCGCCGGCGATCGTGGGGTCGGGACTCGGATCGGCGGAGAGGGCGGGCCCGGCCCGGCCGGGGGTGTCGGGGCGTCGGGGAGAAGGGGGGTCCGCGCCCCCGCCCCGCAGCCCCTCACCTGGCGCGGCCGGCGCGCAGCACAAAGCGGGGGCGGGGCCGGGAGCGCGAGGGGGGAGGGGACGGTCCGGGACCCCCGGGGCCGCCGCAGCCCAGACGCCGCGCGAGGGGCGGGGGCTCTTTGTCCGGCGCGTCCCCGCCTCCCTCCCTCCGCCGCGGGGTCTCGGGGTCTCGGGGTCTCGGGGTCTCGGGGTCTCGGGGCCGCGTCCTCCTCCTCCCTCCGGGCCGCGCGTGGCCGCGGATTCGGGGTCTCCGCGCGTGTCTGCGCCTCTCACGGCCTCTCGCGGGCTCCGGCTCCCCCCGCCCCGCGCCCCCGCCCGCCCCTCCGCGGAGCCCGCAGATCGCCGGGCGCGTTTCCATGGCGCGGTTCCCGGGGCGCCCGGAGCCGCCGGAGACAAAAGGGCTGGGGGCTGTCGGCTGCGGAGCGGGGCGGGGGGTCCCCACTGCCTCCCCCTTCCCGCCGCCGCACTCACCCTCGCCCCCTCCGCCGCCCCGGGGTCCCCCCTCCGCCTGGCAGCAGTCGCCTGAGGCACAAGACGAGGATGCGGGCGGGGGGGACGTGGGGTGGGGGGGACGCGGAGCTGGGGGGCTGCGGGGGATGCGGGGCTGGGGGGATGCGGGGCTGGGGGGATGCGGGGCTGGGGGGACGCGGGGCTGGGGGGGATGCGGGGCTGGGGGTCTCGGGGGCCGGGGGGCTGGGGGGGCGGGGGGCCGGGGGGCTGGGGGGATGCGGGGCGGGGGGGACGCGGGGCGGGGGGTCTGGGGTGCTGGGGGGGGTGCGGGGCTGGGGGGATGCGGGGCTGGTGGGGATGCGGGGTGGGGGTCTCGGGGGACGGGGGGCTGGGGGGGCGCGGGGCCGGGGGGCTGGGGGGATGCGGGGTGAGGGGGACGCGGGGCGGGGGGTCTGGGGTGCTGGGGGGGGTGCGGGGCTGGGGGGATGCGGGGCTTGGGGGGGACGCCGGGCGGGGGACTCGGGGGATGCGGGGCTGGGGTGGACGCGGGGCTGGGGGGATGCGGGGCGGGGGGGACGCGGGGCTGGGGGGATGCGGGGCTGGGAGGGATGCGGGGCGGGGGTGATGCGGGGTGGGGGGCTCGGGGGATGGGGTCTGGAGGGGATGCGGGGCGGGGGGGACGCGGGGCGGGGGGGATGCTGGGCGGGGGAATACGGAGCTGGGTGGGGGGGCTGCCGGACTGGGAGATGCGGGGCGGGGGATGCAGGGCTGGGGGGGATGTGGGTCTGGGGGGGACGCGGGGTGGGGGGCTCCTGGGATGCGGGGCTGGGAGGATGCGGGTCGGGGGGGATGGGGGGCTGGGGGGATGCGGGGCTGAGGGAACGCGGGGCTGGGGGGACGGGGGATGCAGGGCTGGGTGCAGGGCCCTCGGGACCAACGCCCCAGGACACACACTTAGGCAGTGCCCGCTGCCTGCGGCCATTCCGTCCTCTATACACATAGCTCTGTGGGTTAGGGGCTGGTTGACCCCCATTGTACGGATGGGGAAACTGAGGCAACCTGAGTCGCTATCCGAGGTCTCTGAGCCCCAAACTGCAAGATTTAAAAAAAATCGTTGTTTGGGGCGGGGGCGAAGGCTCACGCCTGTGATCCGAGCTCTCTGGGAGGTCGACATGGGCAAGAGAGTTCGAGACCAGCCTGACCGACATGGAGAAACCCCATTTCTACTAAAAACACAAAAATTAGCCAGTCTGCCAGGCGCGGTGGCTCAAGCCTGTGATCCCAGCACTTTGGGCAGACTCAGAGGCGGCCCTGCTTCCTGGGATAGGAGGGCATGGACTGCCTGTGGGGGGGGTTTCAGCCCCCGGGATCCTGCAGAGGGGCTCAGGGAGGCCCTGTGAGCAGTTGGGCACGGGTGGGTCCCATTCGTTGTAATCCTGTTCCTCCCCAACGGCCCTGGGGACGGGGAACGTTGGGGGCTCTGTTTCCCTGGCCTGTGAGGGGTGGGGCCAGGGTGGCTGTTGGGATTCTGGTGTTGAAAGGTGACCACAAACAGCTCTCCGGAGGAGGAGAAGGAAAATGCAATCGCTTTTCGGGAGCCTTCTGGGGTCAGGAGTGGGAGGGCGTGCAGGGGGGATCCTTCTGACAGCTTGGGGGGCCAGTAGGGGATCTGGGGGAGTCTCAGCATCTTCTGAGATGGGGAGGTCTGGCCGTGCTGGGCACATTGCTGGGCTGAGGCGCCCGGGCTTGGGTGTAGGGCACTGGTCATGCGTGGGAGAGTTCAGAGCAGGCTGGAGGGCCGGAGCATACCAGATGCTGCTCAGAAACGTTCATTTTATTTGAAAATTATTATTATTATTGTTACTATTATTTGGAGATGGAGTTTTGCTCTGTCACCCAGGCTAGAGTTCAAATGGCACGATCTTGGCTCACTGTAACCTCCACCTCCAGGGTTCAAGTGATTCTCCTGCCTCAGCCTCCCAAGTAGCTGAGATTACAGGCACCTGCCACCACGCCTGGCTAATTTTTGTATATTGGGTGCAGACGAGATCTCCCTATGTTGGCCAGGCTGGTCTTGAACTCCTGACCTCAGGTGATCTGCCCACCTTGTCCTCCCGAAGTGCTCAGATGACAGGTGTGAGCCACCGTGCCTGGCCTTTTTCTTTTGTTTTGAGATGGAGTTTCGCTCTTGTTACCCAGGCTGGAGTGCAATGGCGCGATCTCCGCTCACCACAACCTCCGCCTCCTGGGTTCAGGTGATTCTCCTGCCTCAACCTCCCGAGTAGCTGGGATTACAGGCACGCGCCACCACGCCCAGCTAATATTTTTTTATTTTTAGTGGAGACGGGGTTTCACCATGTTGGTGACCAGGATGGTCTCAATCTCTTGACCTCGTGATCCACCCGCCTCGGCCTCCCAAAGTGCTGGGATTACAGGCGTGAGCCCCCATACCTGGCCTTTTTCGTTTTTTTTAAATAGAAATAGGGTCTAACCATGTAGCCAAGGCTGGTCTCAAACTCCTGGGCTCAAGTGATCCTCCCACCTCAGCCTCCCAAGGTGCTCGGATTACAGGCGTGAGCCACCGTGCCCAGCCTCAAAAACCTTTAGAAATATGCTCAGCACCATCCTCTCTAGAAGGCAGGGCCTGGTCTGTGTGAGGCCCATGCTTGGCCAGCACAGGCTGGACAGATGCTGGGGTCTCAGCGGGGAGGATGGACAGGTGGGATCCGGGTTGGGCAGAAAGGGGGCTTAGACTGTTTGGGGGCTGTGCCATGGACCCTGTGAGGCGGCCAGGCCGTGAGGCTCAGTGGAGACTGGAGTTGAGCCCTGGAGCCCTACATTCCCCATGGGCAGGGGACCCCAAGGCATGCTGGCCTTGCCTCCCTGGACTCTCCCCAGATTCACCCCTTGGAGGGGCAAATGACCCCTGAAGGCCCCCACAGGCCCAGACACAAAGTGGTGTCCCCAGCGGTGTGGGGATACGGTTAGCCCCAGACCTCAGCTTGCCTTGGAAATGAGCCCCATTGTAAAAAATGGAGGTGAGGTGGCAGGCAGTAGCTCATACCTGTACTCCCGGCACTTTGGGAGGCCGAGGCGGGCGGACTGCTTGAGGTCAGGAGTTCCAAACCAGCCTAAGCAACATAGTGAGACCCCCATCTCTACAGGCAGGTGCCTGTGGTCACAGCTGCTCGGGAGGCTGAGGCGGGAGGATTGAACCCAGGAATTGGAGGCTGGGGCGAGCCGAGATCCCGCCACTGCACTGCAGCCAGGGCGACAGCAAGACCTTGACTCTAAAAAAAATAAAAAAAAAAAAGATGAAATTTACATAACATTAGCCATTTTGAACCGTACGGTTCAGTGGTTTTTGGTACCTTCACAGAGCCACACCCGGCTTGTGTGTGTGTGTGTGTGTGTGTGTGTGTCTGTGTGTGTGTGTGTGTGTCTGTGTGTCTGTGTGTGTGTGTGTGTGTGTTTGTAGAGACAAAGTTTCACCATGTTGGCCAGGCTGTATTTATTTATTCTTGAGACGGGGTCTTGCTGTGTTGTCCAGGTTTGTCTGAAACTCCTGGGCTCAGGCGATCCTCCTGCCTTGGCCTCCCAAAATGCTGGAATTACAAGCATGAGCCACTGTGCCCACATGGCAGCGTGCTGTGCTGCCTTCCTCCCCATCACCTGTATCTGGCGTTTCTCCCCATGCTATCTCTCCCCAACTCCCCACCCGTCTATTTATATATTTTTGAGACAGAGTCTCTCTGTCACCCAGGCTGGAGTGCGGTGGCTCCATCTCAGCTCACTGCAGCCTCCACCACCTGCCGGGTTCAAGTGATTCTCCTGCCTCAGCTTCCCAGGTAGCTGGGACTGCAGGCGCAGCCGCCACACCCGGCTAGTGTGTGTGTGTGTGTGTGTGTGTGTGTGTGTGTGTGTCTGTGTGTGTGTGTGTGCGTGTTTGTAGAGACAAAGTTTCACCATGTTGGCCAGGCTGTATTTATTTATTCTTGAGACGGGGTCTTGCTGTGTTGCCCAGGTTTGTCTGAAACTCCTGGGCTCAGGCGATCCTCCTGCCTTGGCCTCCCAAAATGCTGGAATTACAAGCATGAGCCACTGTGCCCAGCCTGGCTGGTGGTAACTGCTCCGTGAAGATGCTCGAAGCCCCCAAATGGCGCACTTTAAATGGGTGAATTTCATCCTCAGTGAATGATACCTTTTTTTTTTTTTTTTTTTTGAGACGGAGTTTCGCTCTTGTCACCCAGGCTGGAGTGCAATGGCGCGATCTCAGCTCACCGCAACCTCTGCCTCCTGGGTTCAGGCAATTTTCCTGCCTCAGCCTCCCGAGTAGCTGGGATTACAGGCACGCACCACCATGCCCAGCTAATTTTTTGTATTTTTAGTAGAGACGGGGTTTCACCATGTTGACCAGGATGGTCTCGATCTCTTGACCTTGTGATCCACCCGCCTCGGCCTCCCAAGTGCTGGGATTACAGGCGTGAGTCACCGCGCCCGGCCAATCAATGATAATCTCAATAGAGCTGTTGAAAAAGTAAAGCAATAACCACCCACAGAGACGCACAGGCCCCCACACAGGCCTGTCAGCTTCACTGCCCTGAGCCCCCCTGGCTCCAGGCCCAGCAGGGAGTGATGGAGCCCCAGGAGCTCGGGATGGGGCGACCAGGGCTCTGAGCTGGCAATGTCGCTGGTGTTTCCTGGGTGCTGGCTGCGTGCCCGCTGTGTGCTGGGCCACAGGATCCACTGGTTCCTGTCACCCCCACCTGCCCCTGCGGGTGCTGCCGGCTTCTAGAGGGGGAAATTGAGGGTCAGCGCGGGATGAGGGGGGAGCCCAGGCAGGCCCTGGGAGCAGTTTAGCAGTGGAGGCCTTGAGCAATTTCCCGTGTTCCCACTGAGTGAGGCTGTCCCTGGGCCTGGGTGGGGACACCGCCAACCGCCAAAGCCCGTGTATAAGGGCGGCCACCAACTTAGCCACAGAGCTTCCCCGCCATGACCCCGCTGACTGTCCTGGTCCTGCTGGCTGTCCTGCTGGCGTCCTCGAGGGCCGTTGAGTGCCTGTCTGGGCCGGGTGGTCCCTTGTCTGTGCTGGAGGCCCATCTGCCAGAGCAGAGCCAGACTCAAGGCACAGAGGAGGCAAGGGCTTGGCCTGGGTCACACAGAAGCCCAGCCGGACAGTCCCGGGAGAGGCTTGCAGGAGGAGGGTGTGCAAGACTCGGGGCCGCCTGTCCTCTTAGGGAATGGGGCGACGGGTGAGGGTGGGTCCCCCTGCAGCCCCCTGGAGCTTCACGTGCCCTCCCGGCCACCGTGCGGGCTCTCGAGGTCTCAGAGCTGCCTTCCCCCACCCAGGTTCCAGCCCCCTCGCAGACATCGTGGGAGGCCGGAAGGCGAGGCCCCGCCAGTTCCCATTCCTGGCCTCCATTCAGAATGAGGGGAGGCACTTCTGTGGGGGTGCCCTGATCCATCCCCGCTTCGTGATGACTGCGGCCAGCTGCTTCCGAAGCCAGTGAGGGGGGCCCGGGAACGGGGCCTGGGGGGCACTGGGCTCAGAGAAGCAGCTTGGGGGTGCTTAGGGGATTCAGAGGAGGAGGGAGGGTTGCAAAATGGGGGGCTCGGAATGGAGGGGGCTTGGAGAGGGACATGGGGAGTGAGTTGAGGTGGGACCCAAGGAACAATATTGGGGGGCTTAGTTGGAGGAGGCCCAGAGAAGGGAAGGGGCTCAGTTGGAGGGGGCCCAGAGAAGGGAAGGGGCTCAGATGGAGGAGGCCCAGAGAAGGGAAGGGGCTCAGATGGAGGGGGCCCAGAGAAGGGAAGGGGCTCAGATGGAGGAGGCCCAGAGAAGGGAAGGGGCTCAGTTGGAGGAGGCCCAGAGAAGGGAAGGGGCTCAGATGGAGGAGGCCCAGAGAAGGGAAGGGGCTCAGATGGAGGGGGCCCAGAGAAGGGAAGGGGCTCAGATGGAGGAGGCCCAGAGAAGGGAAGGGGCTCAGTTGGAGGAGGCCCAGAGAAGGGAAGGGGCTCAGATGGAGGGGGCCCAGAGAAGGGAAGGGGCTCAGATGGAGGGGGCCCAGAGAAGGGAAGGGGCTCAGTTGGAGGAGGCCCAGAGAAGGGAAGGGGCTCAGATGGAGGGGGCCCAGAGAAGGGAAGGGGCTCAGTTGGAGGAGGCCCAGAGAAGGGAAGGGGCTCAGATGGAGGAGGCCCAGAGAAGGGAAGGGGCTCAGATGGAGGAGGCCCAGAGAAGGGAAGGGGCTCAGATGGAGGAGGCCCAGAGAAGGGAAGGGGCTCAGATGGAGGAGGCCCAGAGAAGGGAAGGGGCTCAGTTGGAGGAGGCCCAGAGAAGGGAAGGGGCTCAGATGGAGGAGGCCCAGAGAAGGGAAGGGGCTCAGATGGAGGAGGCCCAGAGAAGGGAAGGGGCTCAGATGGAGGAGGCCCAGAGAAGGGAAGGGGCTCAGATGGAGGAGGCCCAGAGAAGGGAAGGGGCTCAGATGGAGGGGGCCCAGAGAAGGGAAGGGGCTCAGATGGAGGGGGCCCAGAGAAGGGAAGGGGCTCAGATGGAGGGGGCCCAGAGAAGGGAAGGGGCTCAGATGGAGGGGGCCCAGAGAAGGGAAGGGGCTCAGATGGAGGGGGCCCAGAGAAGGGAAGGGGCTCAGATGGAGGGGGCCCAGAGAAGGGAAGGGGCTCAGATGGAGGGGGCCCAGAGAAGGGAAGGGGCTCAGATGGAGGGGGCCCAGAGAAGGGAAGGGGCTCAGATGGAGGAGGCCCAGAGAAGGGAAGGGGCTCAGATGGAGGGGGCCCAGAGAAGGGAAGGGGCTCAGATGGAGGAGGCCCAGAGAAGGGAAGGGGCTCAGATGGAGGAGGCCCAGAGAAGGGAAGGGGCTCAGATGGAGGAGGCCCAGAGCAGGGAAGGGGCTCAGATGGAGGAGGCCCAGAGAAGGGAAGGGGCTCAGATGGAGGAGGCCCAGAGAAGGGAAGGGGCTCAGATGGAGGAGGCCCAGAGAAGGGAAGGGGCTCAGTTGGAGGAGGCCCAGAGAAGGGAAGGGGCTCAGATGGAGGAGGCCCAGAGAAGGGAAGGGGCTCAGATGGAGGAGGCCCAGAGAAGGGAAGGGGCTCAGATGGAGGAGGCCCAGAGAAGGGAAGGGGCTCAGATGGAGGAGGCCAGAGAAGGGAAGGGGCTCAGATGGAGGGGGCCCAGAGAAGGGAAGGGGCTCAGATGGAGGGGGCCCAGAGAAGGGAAGGGGCTCAGATGGAGGGGGCCCAGAGAAGGGAAGGGGCTCAGTTGGAGGAGGCCCAGAGAAGGGAAGGGGCTCAGATGGAGGAGGCCCAGAGAAGGGAAGGGGCTCAGATGGAGGAGGCCCAGAGAAGGGAAGGGGCTCAGATGGAGGAGGCCCAGAGAAGGGAAGGGGCTCAGATGGAGGAGGCCCAGAGAAGGGAAGGGGCTCAGATGGAGGAGGCCCAGAGAAGGGAAGGGGCTCAGATGGAGGAGGCCCAGAGAAGGGAAGGGGCTCAGATGGAGGAGGCCAGAGAAGGGAAGGGGCTCAGATGGAGGCGGCCCAGAGAAGGGAAGGGGCTCAGATGGAGGGGGCCCAGAGAAGGGAAGGGGCTCAGATGGAGGGGGCCCAGAGAAGGGAAGGGGCTCAGATGGAGGGGGCCCAGAGAAGGGAAGGGGCTCAGTTGGAGGGGGCCCAGAGAAGGGAAGGGGCTCAGATGGAGGGGGCCCAGAGAAGGGAAGGGGCTCAGATGGAGGGGGCCAGAGAAGGGAAGGGGCTCAGATGGAGGAGGGCCCAGAGAAGGGAAGGGGCTCAGATGGAGGGGGCCCAGAGAAGGGAAGGGGCTCAGATGGAGGGGGCCCAGAGAAGGGAAGGGGCTCAGATGGAGGAGGCCCAGAGAAGGGAAGGGGCTCAGTGGAGGAGGCCCAGAGAAGGGAAGGGGCTCAGATGGAGGAGGCCCAGAGAAGGGAAGGGGCTCAGATGGAGGAGGCCCAGAGAAGGGAAGGGGCTCAGATGGAGGAGGCCCAGAGAAGGGAAGGGGCTCAGATGGAGGGGGCCCAGAGAAGGGAAGGGGCTCAGATGGAGGGGGCCCAGAGAAGGGAAGGGGCTCAGATGGAGGGGGCCCAGAGAAGGGAAGGGGCTCAGATGGAGGAGGCCCAGAGAAGGGAAGGGGCTCAGATGGAGGAGGCCCAGAGAAGGGAAGGGGCTCAGATGGAGGGGGCCCAGAGAAGGGAAGGGGCTCAGATGGAGGAGGCCCAGAGAAGGGAAGGGGCTCAGATGGAGGGGGCCCAGAGAAGGGAAGGGGTCTCAGATGGAGGAGGCCCAGAGAAGGGAAGGGGCTCAGATGGAGGAGGCCCAGAGAAGGGAAGGGGCTCAGTTGGAGGAGGCCCAGAGAAGGGAAGGGGCTCAGATGGAGGAGGCCCAGAGAAGGGAAGGGGCTCAGATGGAGGAGGCCCAGAGAAGGGAAGGGGCTCAGATGGAGGAGGCCCAGAGAAGGGAAGGGGCTCAGATGGAGGAGGCCCAGAGAAGGGAAGGGGCTCAGTTGGAGGGGGCCCAGAGAAGGGAAGGGGCTCAGTGGAGGGGCCCAGAGAAGGGAAGGGGCTCAGATGGAGGGGGCCCAGAGAAGGGAAGGGGCTCAGATGGAGGAGGCCCAGAGAAGGGAAGGGGCTCAGATGGAGGAGGCCCAGAGAAGGGAAGGGGCTCAGATGGAGGAGGCCCAGAGAAGGGAAGGGGCTCAGATGGAGGAGGCCCAGAGAAGGGAAGGGGCTCAGATGGAGGAGGCCCAGAGAAGGGAAGGGGCTCAGATGGAGGAGGCCCAGAGAAGGGAAGGGGCTCAGATGGAGGGGGCCCAGAGAAGGGAAGGGGCTCAGATGGAGGAGGCCCAGAGAAGGGAAGGGGCTCAGATGGAGGGGGCCCAGAGAAGGGAAGGGGCTCAGATGGAGGGGGCCCAGAGAAGGGAAGGGGCTCAGATGGAGGGGGCCCAGAGAAGGGAAGGGGCTCAGATGGAGGGGGCCCAGAGAAGGGAAGGGGCTCAGATGGAGGAGGCCCAGAGAAGGGAAGGGGCTCAGATGGAGGGGGCCCAGAGAAGGGAAGGGGCTCAGATGGAGGGGGCCCAGAGAAGGGAAGGGGCTCAGATGGAGGAGGCCCAGAGAAGGGAAGGGGCTCAGATGGAGGAGGCCCAGAGAAGGGAAGGGGCTCAGATGGAGGAGGCCCAGAGAAGGGAAGGGGCTCAGATGGAGGAGGCCCAGAGAAGGGAAGGGGCTCAGATGGAGGAGGCCCAGAGAAGGGAAGGGGCTCAGATGGAGGAGGCCCAGAGAAGGGAAGGGGCTCAGATGGAGGAGGCCCAGAGAAGGGAAGGGGCTCAGATGGAGGAGGCCCAGAGAAGGGAAGGGGCTCAGATGGAGGAGGCCCAGAGAAGGGAAGGGGCTCAGATGGAGGAGGCCCAGAGAAGGGAAGGGGCTCAGATGGAGGAGGCCCAGAGAAGGGAAGGGGCTCAGTTGGAGGAGGCCCAGAGAAGGGAAGGGGCTCAGTTGGAGGAGGCCCAGAGAAGGGAAGGGGCTCAGATGGAGGAGGCCCAGAGAAGGGAAGGGGCTCAGATGGAGGAGGCCCAGAGAAGGGCAGGGGCTCAGATGGAGGAGGCCCAGAGAAGGGCAGGGGCTCAGATGGAGGAGGCCCAGAGAAGGGCAGGGGCTCAGTTGGAGGAGGCCCAGAGAAGGGCAGGGGCTCAGATGGAGGAGGCCCAGAGAAGGGCAGGGGCTCAGATGGAGGGGGCCCAGAGAAGGGCAGGGGCTCAGATGGAGGAGGCCCAGAGAAGGGCAGGGGCTCAGTTGGAGGAGGCCCAGAGAAGGGAAGGGGCTCAGATGGAGGAGGCCCAGAGAAGGGAAGGGGCTCAGATGGAGGGGGCCCAGAGAAGGGAAGGGGCTCAGATGGAGGGGGCCCAGAGAAGGGAAGGGGCTGAGATGGAGGGGGCCCAGAGAAGGGAAGGGGCTGAGATGGAGGAGGCCCAGAGAAGGGAAGGGGCTCAGATGGAGGAGGCCCAGAGAAGGGAAGGGGCTCAGATGGAGGGGGCCCAGAGAAGGGAAGGGGCTCAGATGGAGGGGGCCCAGAGAAGGGAAGGGGCTCAGATGGAGGGGGCCCAGAGAAGGGAAGGGGCTCAGATGGAGGAGGCCCAGAGAAGGGAAGGGGCTCAGATGGAGGGGGCCCAGAGAAGGGAAGGGGCTCAGATGGAGGAGGCCCAGAGAAGGGAAGGGGCTCAGATGGAGGGGGCCCAGAGAAGGGAAGGGGCTCAGATGGAGGAGGCCCAGAGAAGGGAAGGGGCTCAGATGGAGGGGGCCCAGAGAAGGGAAGGGGCTCAGATGGAGGAGGCCCAGAGAAGGGAAGGGGCTCAGATGGAGGGGGCCCAGAGAAGGGAAGGGGCTCTGGATGGGGAGGGCGCCCTGGAGGGTCTCGGCTCCACTTCTGTCAAAAGAGGGGAGTTTTCAGGGTGAAGGAACACAGCCTGCAAGCCGGGATCCCCCCTAATTTGCAAGCCAGCTTTCTCTGTGCCCAGGCCCCAGCCTGGTGTCCTCCCTCTGCCCTCTCCTACACTGCCCTTAGGAACCCTGGGATTGGCACCGTGGTGCTGGGCGCCTATGACCTGAGGCGGCGGGAGAGGAGGTCCCGACAGACCTTCTCCATCAGCGGCATGAGCGAGAACGGCTACAACCCCCAGCAGAACCTGAATGACCTGCTGCTGCTGCAGGTGAGAGGAACGGGCAGGTGCGGGGCTCACGCCTGTGCTCCCCGCACCTCGGGAGGCCGACGCCAGCCTGGGAAACACGTCCAAACACTGTCTCCACAAAAAAGTACAAAAACTGCCGGGCGCGGTGGCACGCACCTGTGGTCCCAGTGCTTCAGGAGCCTGAGGCGGGAGGATAGCTTGAGGCCAGGAGTTCAAGACCAGCCTGGCCATCATGGTGAAACCCCGTTGGGAGGATCACTTGAAGACAGGACCTTGTAATTAGCCTGGGAAATATGACCAAATTCAGTATCAAAAAAGAAAAAAAAAATATCCAGGCACGGTGGTGGGCGCCTGTGTTCCCAGCTACTCAGGAGGCTGAGGCAGGAGAATCGTTTGAACCCTGGAGGTTGAGGCTGCAATGAGCTGAGATCATGCCGCTGCACTCCAGCCTGGGCAACAGAGCCAGACCCTGTCTCAAGAAAACTTTATTTTTTGAGACGGAGTTTCGCTCTCATTACCCAGGCTGTAGTGCAATGGTGCGATCTCGGCTCACCGCAACCTCCGCCTCCTGGGTTCAGGCAATTCTCCTGCCTCAGCCTCCCGAGTAGCTGGGACTACAGGCACCTGCCACCATGCCCAGCTAATTTTTTGTATTTTTAGTAGAGACGGGGTTTCACCATGTTGACCAGGATGGTCTCGATCTCTTGACCTCGTGATCCACCCGCCTCGGCCTCTCAAAGTGCTGGGATTACAGGCTTGAGCCACCGCGCCCGGCTTATTATTTTTCTATGGAGGAGGAACTGGAGACTCAGACAGGTGAAACAACTCAGCCAGGGTCCTAGAGCAGGTTACTGTCCTGCTAGAATATTGTTTTGGTTTTTCGAGACGGAATCTCGCTCTGTCATCCATGCTGGAGTGGGGGGGGTGGCAGGATCTCGGCTCACTGCAGCCTCCGCCTCCCAGGTTCCAGCAATTCTCCTGTCTCAGCCTCCCAAGTAGCTGGGATTACAGGTGTGTACCACCGCGCCTGGATAATTTTTTTTTGGATTTTTAGTAGAGATGAGGTGTCACCTTGTTGGCCAGGCTGGTATCGAACTCGTGACCTCAACTGACCCTTGGCCTCCCAAAGGGCTGGGATTATAGTCACGAGCCACCGCACCCAGCCCTGCTGAGAACCAAAGGCAAAGCACTTATAGACCACAATTCACGCTGCTGGCACTTCTGCTCCCGGGGGCCCCGTGAGGCTCCAGTTCCCGGGGCCAACCCTCCCTCGACTCCGTTTCCTTCCCCAGCTGGACCGCGAGGCCAACCTCACCAGCAGTGTGGCAATCCTGCCGCTGTCCCCGCCGAACACCAGGGTGGAAGCTGGCACCAGATGCCAGGTGGCCGGCTGGGGGACGCAGCGCAGCGGGGGCCGTCTCTCCCGTTTTCCCAGGGTCGTCAATGTGACTGTGACCCCTGAGGACCAGTGTCGCCCCAACAACCTGTGCACCGGTGTGCTCACCCGCCGGGGCGGCGTCTGCCAGGTACGTGCTCCCCGTGGTGGGGGGACGGGTCCTGAGAGGTAATGAGCTCCCCGTGGCTGGCTGGAGTGCAGTGGCACGATCTCGGCTCACCGCAACCTCCACTTCCTGGGTTCAAGCAATTCTCCTGCCTCAGCCTCCCGAGTTGCTGGGGTTACAGGTGCCCACCCACGTGCCTGTCTAACTTTTGTATTTTTTTTTAGTAGTGATGGGGTTTCACCATCTTGGCCAGGCTGGTCTCAAACTCCTGACCTTGTGATCTACCCACCTCCACCTCCCAAAGTGTTGGGATTTGGGGCCGCCTGACAGAGAAACAGTAGCTATTAAACACCGTCGGCGAGCCGAGTCTGTGAGGGGGGTTGGGGGCCCAGCAGGCAGGCAGAGCGGGTCAGTGGGGGGCTCAGCCATTGTGATCGCCAGGGGAGGGGCCCCTGGCCCAGCCTGTGAGTGCCAGGAAGCTCCTGATCCAAAATTCCGTTAGGAGTGAACCAGGGCAGAGGGGAATGTGTGCAGAGAGAGAACAGCCCGTGCAAAGGGCCTGGGGCTGGATCACGACTTGTGGGTTCCAGGGGCAGCAGGAGGGCTCTGCAGTTCTGGGGTGATGGGGGAGCTGGGCCCAGGGACACCCTGACACAGCTGTCACCTGCCCAGGGGGACGGGGGCACCCCCCTCATCTGCAACGGTCTGGGACACGGCGTGGCCTCCTTCTCCATGGAGCCCTGTGGCCGGGGCCCCGACTTCTTCACCCCAGTGGGACCCTTCCGAGAATGGATCGATGGTGTTCTCAACGCCCCTACACCTGGGCCAGCCTAGGGGGAGCCTGTGACCGCCCACGGAGCCCAGCTCTGCCCTCCACGCCTCCCGTGTGCTGCATCCCCGTCCCGTGGCCCCACCCCTGCCCCTGCTCTGGCCTGCGTGGCCCTGGCTGTAATAAAGAAACTGTTCTCTCCTCTGCTCCTGGTTTCTGCCTCAGCAGGGTGGGCTGTGGGGAGGTGTGAGTGGCGACTTCACCGGCCTTAGGGGCACCTACCCCAGTCCTTTGCAGATGTCCGAGGATCCCCTCGAAGCCCCAGGAAGCAGAGGCTGGTGTCATCTCCACCTGACAGTGGGGTGCTGGGGGGAGACCAAGGTTCAGAGAGGTTGGGTGGCTGCCCGAAGGTCACACAGCGAACGCAGGCCTTGAACCCAAATCTTGGTTCTAGTCGCCCTGTCCACCTCTCATTCTGCTGGAGAACATATCACGCAGCCTCCGTGGGCAACATCAGGAAAGAGAGGCCGGGCACGGAGGCTCACACCTGTGATCCCAGCGCTGTGGGAGGCCAAAGTGGGCACATCACCCGAGGTCGGGAGTTCGAGACCAGCCTGGCCAATATGGCGAAACCCCGTCTCTACTAAGAATACAAAAATGAGCCAGGCATGGTGGCAGGCGCCTGTAATCCCAGCTATTCAGGAGGCTGAGACAGGAGAATCACTTGAACCTGGGAGGCGGAGGTTGCGGTGAGCCGAGATTGCGCCACTGCACTCCAGCCTGGGGGGCAGAGTGAGACTCTGTCTCCAAAAAATAAAATAAAAATAAAGTGTGCACTTCAGTACATTCACAATGTTGTGTGGTCATGAACTCCATTGAATTCCAGAATATTCCATCACCCCCAGAGGAATCGCCGTCCCCATCAGCCTCATCCCCTGTCTCTTCTCCACATACCCCGCCCCCCCGGCACCTCCGCGTCCCCTCTCTGCCTCTGTGGATCAGCCTGTCCTGGACATTTCATAGAAATGGATCACACACTGGCCGGGCGCGGTGGCTCAAGCCTGTAATCTCAGCACTGTGGGAGGCCGAGGCGGGTGGATCACGAGGTCAGGAGATCGAGACCATCCTGGTCAACATGGTGAAACCCCATCTCTACTAAAAAATATACAAAAAATTAGCTGGGTGTGGTGGCACGTGCCTGTAATCCCAGCTACTCGGGAGGCTGAGGCAGGAGAATCGCCTGAACCCGGGAGGCGGAGGTTGCGGTGAGCCGAGATCGCACCATTGCACTCCAGCCTGGGTAACAAGAGCAAAACTCCAGCTCAAAAAAAAAAAAAAAAAAAAAAGAAATGGATCACGTACTGTGTGGTCTTTTGTGCCCAGCGTCTCTCACGGAGCGTGACGTCCTCATGGTGCATCCGCGCTCTGTCCTGGGTCAGAGCTTCGCTCCTTTTCACGGTGAGTCGTGTTCCAGCGCATGGAGGGTGGTGCTGTGCCGATCCACACGCCTGTGGATGGACGTCTGGGCCTCCCCGCTTTCGGCTGCTGTGAATCTCACGTCTGTGAACCTGCCCTGGAATGGAACTGCAGGGTCATGACGGGTCCTGTTTACAGAGGGGGAAACTGAGGCCTTGGGAGGCGTGCCAGTGGCTCAGGAACCCAGCTGGTGGGGGCCGTGCTCGAGCTTGGAGAGGCAAAGCCACTGTCCAGATGGGGAAACTGAGGCCCAAGGCACGATTGAGGTTCAAGCGCTTCTGGTGCCCCCAGCTCGGGGCCACGTCCGGTCATGAGGGCCCCCGCTGGGTGGGATCCCTGCCCTCCCTGAGGCGGTTTCTGCCCAGCTTCCCTCAGCCCCTGCAGCTCCCGCATCCTGGGCCCAAGGGTCTGGTGTCAGGTCCACCTGGCAGCGGCCAGCCCGGCTCAAGGGCCCTCAGTGCAAGGCTGTGGGTGACTATGGGTGGCTTGACCCTCTCCAGGCTGTGGATTTCAGGGACGTGGGACAGAGTCCCACCTGCGGACCACCTTCCACCCCACAGCCCCCTCCAGGCCGTGCCCCCGCAGCCTCCGGGCAGACCCAGACGGGCTCACAGTGCAGTGGCAGCCTGGCCCCGGTCGCTAGTGTCTTCGGGAGGTTTTTAAGTTTTGGGAATTCTCAGAAACATCTGCGTTTGGCTTAGAAATCCCGTGAGAGGGGGCATCAGGGGGCAGGTGGGTGGACGGGCCTGGTGGGTGTGGAAGGCAGCCGGGTGTCAGGGCCTCGTGCACATGGGAAGGTCAACAGTAGGCACAACACACACAAAACACACAAGACACACAACACACACAAACACAAGACACACCCAAAACACACACAACACACACAAAACACACAAGACACATACAAAACACAGAACAGATACATAACACAGACACACCCAAAACACACAACACACACAAAACACACAAGACACACCCAAAACACACACACAAAACACACAAGACACACCCAAAACACACACAACACACACAAGACACACCCAAAACACACAACACACAAAACACACAAGACACACCCAAAACACACAACAGACACAAAACACACAAGACACACCCAACACACACACAAAACACACAACACACAAAACACACAAGACACACCCAACACACACAAAACACACAACACACAAAACACACAAGACACACCCAAAACACAAACACACACAAAACACACAAGACACACCCAAAACACAAACACACACAAAACACACAAGACACACCCAAAACACACACAACACACACAAAACACACAAGACACATGCAACACATAAAAAACACACAAAACACTCTCAAAACACACAACACACGAAAAACACATAAAACAACACAACACTCACACACCACACACAAAACACACACCACACATACAAAACACACAAGACACCCCCAAAACACACAACACACAACACACACAACACACATACAACACACACAAAACTCCCAAAACACACAACACAACACACAAAACACAGAACACACAACACACACAGCACAACAGACAAAACATTTACAAAACACACAAAAAACACATAAAACACATACACAATGACCCAAAACACACATAACACACATACAACACACACAAAACACTCCTGAAACACACACAGCACCCAAAACACACAACACAAAACAAAAACACAAAATACATAAAACACACACACACAAAAATATACAAAACACAAAACACAAAAAACACAACACACCAAAAACAAAGACAAAAAACACACAACACAAACAGAACACATACGCACAAAACACACCCACGGGCAAACCAGCATCTTCTCTTCACTCAGGGAGAGAAGGTTTTCCTTTTCTAGAGAGGAAAGGAGAGGAGGCCGGGTGCGGTGGTTCACACCTGTAATCCCAGCACTTTGGGAGGCTGAGGCGGGTGGATGACTTCAGATCAGGAGTTCGAGACCGGCCTGGCCGACGTGGTGAAAACCCGTCTCTACTAAAAATGCAAAAATTAGCCTGGCGTGGTAGGGCAGGCCTGTCATCCCAACTACTCGGGAGGCTGAGGCAGGAGAATCGCTTGAACCCGGGAGGCGGAGGCTGCAGTGAGCCGAGATTACACCACTGCGCTCCAGCCCGGGGGGAGACAGAGGCTCACTCTGTCTCAAAACATAGAAAAAAACAAGAAAAAGGAGAGGACAGAAAAAAGAGAGACCAAGAGAGATGGAGGGACGGAGACAGATGAACAGAGACACAGAGAGACAGAGACAGAGGGACAGAGCTAGAGAGACGAGAGAGATTAAAAAAGGGAGACAGAGGCCGGGCAATCCCAGCACTCTGGGAGGCCAAGGTGGGCGGGTCGCCTGAGGTCAGGAGTTTGAGACCAGCCTGACCAACATGGAGAAACCCCATCTCTACTGAAAATACAAAATTAGATGGGCGTGGTGGTGGGTGCCTGTAATCCCAGCTACTCAGGAGGCTGAGGCAGGAGAATCACTTGAACCCGGGAGGCGGAGGTTGGGGTGAGTGGAGATCCTGCCATTGCACTCCAGCCTGGGTGACAAGAGAAAAACTCCATCTCAAAAAAAAAAAAAAAAAGGAGACAGAGATGAAAAGACAGACACAGGGAGACACAAAGAGACAGAGAAAGATAGGGGGACAGAGACAGAGCGAGACAGAGAGACAGAGACAGAGAGGGACATAGAGAGGGTGGAGAGAGACAGGGACACAGGCCTGGTCTCCCCCGGGTCTGGGCTAGGCCCTGGGCAGCCCCACCTGCGATCCATGAAGCCGTTACCAGTTACAACACCCACAGTCGGCACAGGAAGGGGCCCCCCACGACCCTGGCCCCCCAGCCAACCCCTGCAGAGCCCCAGGCATGTTCCACGGAGCCCTCCCTGCTAACCCCTCCCGGCACTCTGGCTGCCCTGGCCTGTGCCTTCCCCAGAGGCCTCTGTGCCTTGGCTCACGGGTTCCCCCCAGGATGCACGGGGAGCCTGGAGGACCCGGATGGAGGACCTGTCTCTGCCCTCCTATCTTTCTCTGTCTCTTTGTGTCTCCCTGTGTCTGTCTCTTCATCTCTGTCTCCCTTTTTTTTTTTTTTTTTTTTGAGATGGAGTTTCTCTCTTGTCACCCAGGCTGGAGTGCAATGGCGGATGGGAAGACCCCTTGAGGGTGGGAGTTTGAGGCTGCAGTGAGCTGTGATTGCACCACGGTACTCCAGCCTGAGAGACAGAGAGAGACCCTGTTTCAACAGACACCCCCCACCCCAGACACACAGAATAACTAGAGCGTAACAAACCCGGCGTCCACCCACAGATGAATGGGTCAACACGGCATGGTCCCTCCAGGCACAGGCACAGGACACAGCCACAAGAAGGAGCGAGGCTTGGCCCCAGCCACAGCACAGGTGCACCTTGAGGATTTCACGCTCAGTGAGAGTCGCCAGACACAGAAGATCACGCAGCATGAGGTCCCCTTTCTTTTTTTTTTTTTTGAGACGGAGTTTCGCTCTTGTCACCCAGGCTGGAGTGCAATGGTGTGATCTCGGCTCACCGCAACCTCCGCCTCCTGGGTTCAGGCAATTCTCCTGCCTCAGCCTCCCAAGTAGCTGGGATTACAGGCACGCGCCACCATGCCCAGCTAATTTTTGTATTTTTAGTAGAGACGGGGTTTCACCATGTTGACCAGGATGGTCTCGATCTCTTGACCTCGTG